TCCTCTCAGTTCCATAAAGATGCCTGACTTGGACCCGCCCTCGTCCTTGTCGCCCCATCTTTCCACCTCCTTCCTTCATCAGTTGTTGACCCGCAAACAAAAACGGAAAAAGTTCGCCAGGCGCTGGAATTCCTTGAACGATCTCCGTCGTCAATGGGTTAAGGCATTTAAAAGAGACCAAGAAAATGGAAGAAAAATGCGATCGACTAACTGATACTTTTGGGTTTACATAATGGTTAAAACTTGGTTGTATACTTTTTGATTTTTAGAACTTATTGAAAAATACTAACATTTACTCACTCCCTATATTATTTATTAATATAATCTGTCAAATATTTTTAAGATATTATTATTTTATCCTATTATTAATAGGATCTATTTCGTTCAAGGAATACTTTAGAGATCTTCAAAAGAAAGGAAACTTTATACTGTTTATGCGCAGCAGAGAAATTATCAAATATCTATCAAATATGCCTAACATGCCATTTAAATAACAGGGTCACAGGCGTGCTTTTCTTAGACCATATATCACAGATACTCCTCTCGATACCCTGTAAAATCCAAAGGGGGCATGCACAAAAAACGCACACTCATGCCGCGGCGATGTCGCTGTTGTCTTAGCTGTTTTTGTTGTCTCTGCTGCACTGGCCGATGTCGGCACGATATGCTCTTCTGTCTGCAACATTGTTGCATGGGAATGGCGGGCTCCTCCGACTCCTTTTCCCCTTCCCCCTCCAGTGAAGTCGCCTTGGGTCGGAGCTTCTTGGGTTGGGAGGTGACCACGAAGATGCCGGTTGGTTGGTTGGTTGGTTGCAAGCTGGAATGCTGCGACTCATTCTGCCACATCAGCGCCGCAGTTTGTCCCTTAATTGAGCGTTCGACAAGCGATAACCGATGTGGCTGATCTCCCCGTCTATAAAGATACAGATATCTCCATCGACTCTCTTTGATTCTTCTGCTTTTTATTTTCGAGTGGGAAAAAAGGCAAAGATCAATGACGACGGAAGACGAGCGCAGTGTTTGCCTTGGTTTCTTCACTCCCCAAGCTGTGTAACTTTAATTGCTCTCGTAATTCTCTCAACACTTGAACACGATTATGGGCCCATTGTCCATAGAAAGCCAAACGAAAGCTTCCGAAAAAGAAAACTTGAAAATTGTGTTAAGCATTTACACGTGCCGCGACCATAAAAAGATTGTCCAACTTTGGGAACCCCCGAAGCGGATGCTCTACAATTGCGGATTTCGATGGGGTTTGTGATTTGTAAGGAGGTGAGCGATCGCCTGAGAGGTCAAACAGGTGTTTGTAATAATACCTGTGCCATGGGAATATCGATTGAGGCATCTTAAAGAATAAATAAATTATAGAAAAATTACTTCAAAGAGTCGGATTCATCCACTACTATTAAAAAAGAGAAACCTTTTCTTTTGGCGAATAATCAATCCACAGCCAAAACAGTAAGACACAGAAATCTAACAAAAAACTCGAAATTCGCTATTAATTCTAAGATTCTTTTAGAAATATATTTAAACAAAAATTAAAAAAATTTTTTTTATTGAGACAATAGTTTAAAAAATAAAAATAAATAGTTAACATTTCTAAAAAATAAAGTTTTACTATTACAAAAAGTTGTCCCTCTTACGAACCACCATCAATGAACTTTGATAGTCTCACTCGCTTTATCGCGATCCCGTAATTATAGGGCATACCAAAGACCCCGATGAATTCCTCAATGGCGGAGAATTTTGAAGAAGGGGGCAGATCGCTTGAAGCTCTTTGCCTGTGTTGTGTAAATTGAACAAACGAAACATTTCGAGCGGCGCACGAAATAAATCTCAAGACCCACACAACAACAACAACAGCGAACTGGTAAACAAACAACAACAACAAGTGACAAGCACAACAAACAACAATGAGCAAACAACACACAAGTCAAGTCAAGTCAGAAAAAAGAAAACGAAACATATAAAAAATGAAGGAGAAACAAATAATAAAAATTTCATGATTACTACGGGCCAAATGAAAAGGTGTCATTGCAGGTGAGAAACGAGAGCACACGCGTATGCCACTTTGGGAGTCGGAAAGCCAGAGGCCCCTGCTCAAATAACTCATGGTATTCATATGTACATATATACCGAAGACTGAAGAGGGCCGCGTGTGATTATGACTTACTAGAAATCGAAGAAGTAGGTGCCCCCCAACCACCCAACCCCCGAAAATAGTGAAAAAGGTTTTCAAGTAACTGTTCATGGGTTTTCATCAATGAATTTATGATGGTGCCCATACCCCTCATTTAATTTATCATATTTTCTTGCCTCTTCTCTTAATTCATAAATTATAATGGTTGACTTTCAGAGCTTTTATAGAAGGGGGACCGGGGACTTGGGGGAATGTTGGTCAATTGCTTGTTGGGGACATTTATGGGCATAAATTACTCTTCGAGTTGTAAATTTCTTGAAAATGCTAAATTAAAAGTTATTTATTGTATTTGATTTGCTTTACGTGCCTTGTTTATGAAATATGCCACAAAAAGTCTTGGTTTCAATGACGTCTTTACTTTTATAAGGAGATGGGGGAACAAGTCATTAGGGGGACAGTAATGTGACCGGATATCCAGTGGAATGGGTAGAGTTTTCAATGTGCACAGGGAAAATGATGAGTTAAAAATGTTTGTAAAATTATCCCGTTTACAATTTACCATGATTTTAAAGAAGAAATGTTCCAAATTCAAGAAGAAATATTTTCAATTCAAGAACAATTGTTCTCAATTCAGAGACAGTGTGCTTGAATATTTTTCTCCGCAGTATAAAATGGAGTAATGTACTACATATTTAAGCAACGAATAATAGTGCATTTCAAAAAGCCTTTTCCTAATCTTAAGTAAGTGTAATTAAAGTCAAAGCCATTAGAGCGAGTCAAATCAACTTGAAAGTGTTGCAATCTGCCCTGAATGTCTCTGAATGTTAATTAGTGATTTCCAATATCGATATTGCCATCTCAGCCAAATGGAGTGGAGTTCCACCCACCCACCATCCACACACACACACATCCTCTTCCTCTATTTTTTAGGGGCGTGGCCGTGTGCAGCCGCAACCAGTTAGCCATTTAATGGCTTGTCTAATATCCTTTAACTGCCATCGGGCCATTAAAAAGCATAAAGTCATTTAGTAATTAATTTTCATGTTGCTTCCCCGTTGCCAGGAGATAGATATTATGATGGGTTAGCAGCTAGAAGTAGGGGTGGGTATTCTATGGATAGGGCGCGGTCGAGTTTGGTGTGGTTTCTGTTCTTTTTTTCTCGTCCTTCTACAGAGTCCCTTTTGCACTTTTGCATACGAAGTACTACGTATATATTAACAAAACAAAACACTCGCAAAGCACACACACATGCAGGCGAAAAACGCGCCAAACATGTCCTACCTCTCGGGATTTTCCAGTGCGCACGTCTCGGGATTCAGGATTCTGATGCAGTTTGTATATGCCGGGTTTTGTGCTTCCAGCTTCCATTACTACGAGAATTTTTACTACGTTTTATCGATCCATTGTGTCTCTATCTCTCTCGTTTTTCGGTGTGTATTCTGTATTCCTGCTGCTGTACGCCCAGCCAAAAAAAGAGCAGGACCAAAAAGAGCCGAAGCTGAATAGTCGTCGGTTTTGGGTTTGGAAGGGGGTTGGAAGGGGGTTTGGAAGGGGGTTTGGAAGGGGGTTTGGAAGGGGGTTTTGGGTGGATGGTGGATGGTGGATGGTGGATGGGGGGAGTTGGGCGAGGCCACATCAAAAGAGCACCAGCGAAAAGAGGCAAGCTCCCATCTCGTTTCACTTTCCACTTGATTCCTTGCGCTTGACAGACCCCCAAACCCCCCCCCTAGTTTTTAGTCAGGATGCAAGGATGCAGCTCTCTCGACTCAACTCTCTCTCTCTTTCTCTCTCTGTCTGTTTCGCGGCCATTGACCTCTGATGTCAAACAAAATCGGCGCGCACTTATTATATAGAGAGATCGGGGCAGGAAAAGGGAGATGTGGAGTATGGAGTATGGAGTTTTGGAGTATGGTAACAGGGGCACTGGATACTGAATACTGTGAGTACTGGGGACACTCGACCACGGTCCAGGGAATTGCAACTTGGAAACGGGGAAAATGGGAAAATGGGAGCAGGAGGAAAGTGGATTGCCGTGGATTGGATTCTGTGGTGCTCCAGGACGACCCCTGGTCTCGACTAGAGTTGCCTTACGGCCAACTTCAGAGTTTGTTTTGTGTTGTGTAAATTACGTTATTTACGTGTATATTGTTGGCCAGAGTTTCGGGTTGCTTTTGTTGTGTGTTTCTGATTCTGATGGGGAAAGCTTAAATTGGATACGCCAGCAATTGGAAATTGTTGCAATTGTTTAACGCTCGTTTGAAAAGGAGAAGGAAGGGGTCAAAGTTTACCGAGGCTTAAGGGAAAGGAAACTGTCACAAAAATTGGATCAATTTAAATATTTGATGGATGGCAGCTTTAAATATACCAATTTATCAACCGATCTCAACCCATTTCTGTAACTGTAGTTTTACATTAACGCAATACAAAATGTACATTTTTCCGGTTTAAAATGCCGGTATTTATCGATTCCGGCTTGTTTTCGATCATTTCCGGTCATTTCCGATTTCCGGCTTCTGGGGGTGAAAAAAAGGGCGACTCGTGCTGCTAAGCAATTTTAAAACACAGGGCGATTTGGGCGGCTTGAAATTGAAAACACAGGGTGACACTTAAATTCACTCAATTCTACATCATTTTTGAGGCGCCACCTACCTTTAATTTGTTAGTTTTACACATATTTTACAAGACTTTATACACATTTTACACATATTTTAAATAGTTCTGCGTTCGGAATCTCCGGTTTGTGTCTACGCTGACTTCTGGTTTGTGAACCATTGCTCAAAAGGTTGTCGGCACGACTAATTGCTTTCAGTTGCACTAAAACTGTAAATTGGCTACAAAACTGTTTTGAAATTCGATTTAAATTTCAACCGAAACTCGACAAAGGAGCTGAGTTTTCACAGGTGTCCTCCTCACTAAAAAACGAATAAGAAATTATATTAAAATTTAATACATAATACGACATACTCACTTATCTATGCGTCGCAGAAAGTTTTGGATCTGTTGATTCTTTCCAATTAATGCATAAAGCGCAGCAAATCCATGGAAGGCCATGGAGAAACTCACGGCGTAGTTGAGATGCGATCGATTCTCCCGATAGTAGTTGAATGCAAAGGAACAGATGCAAACGAGCCACACAATCGCCGTGTAACCGACGTACTTATAAAAGGACCTAAAGCGATTCTTCTCAATGGACTCGAAACTCTTCTCTGTTTCGATTTCCGGCTGTTCACTGATGTAGATCAGACTGAGGATATAGAAGAAGCCGCTGATGGCACAGGCAACAAAAACGGGAGCGTACAAGTAGATCATAATGGACCAATTGCGAGCTGTGGAAACAATGTTTAAATAGAAAATTAGTGTTATGCTAGAAAAAACGCTAAAGTCGAGAAGCTCGACTATCAAATACCCATTACTCAGCTGAATGAGTGTGAGAGAGATAGAGATATGCAAGCAGTCGCTTGAAAGTGGCGCCATCTATCGGAAAACCATTATTTGCTCATAACTTTTGAATGAATGGTCCGATTTGAAAATTAACTTTTACATTTCGATAGGTATTAATAAATGCATACTCTACGAGAAACGGAAAGATTGTCTCCTAATACTCACGATCAAACCAGCATGTATCGCTTCCAAAAATCAGCCGAGATTCGTAGTAAGTAAAGCTAACGAAAAAGGACCAACCCACTGCGATTATAACAATCGGTGTGAAGATGAGCCAAAACATCAGTTTCGTGAAGACCACGCCATGGAAACTCAAGTAGAGCTTAAAGGCAATGAAGCTCAGAATGTAAAAGGAAAGAACCAAGTACATCAGAGTCAAACCGGCTAAAAGGAAAAAAGTTAAGTAATATTAAGATAAGTAGTGACTATAACTTACGTAGAATACGACAAGCTGCATTTGAAATATTTGCTGGGTTGTGCAAAGTCAAATAAGCCAAGAGTGCATAGCCCAGTATCATACAGATGGCGTACGCCTTGATGGCCACACCGTAGAAACTGTTGCGCATCTCGGAGCACAAAAGGTAGACCACCAGCACAATAAACATGGATAGAATCGCAATCAAGAGGCCTGCAAAAAGAGAAATCCAAAAAAAAAGATCATCCATGTATCAATCTTCACTTGCGATTTTCTCTTGTTGTTTTAACAATTGCTTTTATGAGCGTACTATCTATAATTATAAACTCTCGCCCCCGAAGAAATCGAAAGAATATTTGTGATTGTGAATTGGGCTAAATGCTGGAGAAATGTGTTTGCTACTCACATATGGCGTAGGTCCATTCCCGCACACCGAGAACAAATTGAAACTTTTCTGGGGCACAGGCCAGCGGTTGCCACTCCCAAGTGGAGTTCGAGTGGAGCAGCGGAGTGAAGCAATAGTGCTTGGAGAAAATGTGACCCCGATGGCTGATGGTTCCGTTCTGAAATATGGGAAGAGATATTGTAAATACTGTACGTGTGAATGAAGAACGTGCAATTCGATCTGATCTAGACTGAGGAATAGGTTTTTGTATAAAAAAGTCTATCGAAAATATCGATATTTTCGATATTTATCGGAAACGTCGATTATAATCATTTTTTAGATTTTCCTATGTTTGTCCTAAAAAACATTGATATTTTCGATACAATATTGTAAAAATATGAAAATATCGATATTTTTCAAGCTTTCTTTTTCAATACCCACCTCGTGAAGTGTCCAATGAACGTACTCCGATCCCTTGGTGACTGCCTTCATGTGCTCACACGGCGTTTCCACATGGATGCTGAAACGCGACAGCAGTTCTACCTCCCTCACTTTGCCATCGTTCAACTCCACCTCCATTTGGAACTGGGAAGGAGGAATCGCATTTGATGGCACTAAACACTGTCTCCTCTCCAGATCGTAGATATAGCCCTCCTCACAACAAAACCGCACACATGGTTTCGCCTTGCAGATGCAGCCCCTCAGATGTCGCGGTGCCGCTTTCCTCAAACCATTCTCGATGACAAAATCGTAAACGGCCACAAATTGGCGGGGAATCACTGTCCAATTGTGCACATAGGCGCCATCCAAACCGTAGCTACCCGTGATATTTGCCGTGTCGATGAAGGCACACGGATAATGCGTCTCCTCGTGAAATCCCCATGATCCATGGGTCAACGAGAAGATAAGGAGGACGAATTCCAAAACGCCGAACTGCGCCATTCGAAGAGACATTCTCGACTGCCGACGATCTCTTTTCTGCTCTGAATACTATTGCTTTGTTTATGCTAGAGCGTCCAATTTATGCCTGTTTACCTCCTCCAGACGATTGCCAAACCGAAATCGAATCGTATCGAAATGGAATGAAATGAAATGGACTAGATAGACACCGGAATAGTATTGCAATGATGACGTAGCTCCGCGATGGCAAAGGTGCGAGCCGTTAATTGAGTGAGCGGATCAACATCATCTGCACCTGACACGGTACGAACTTGGACTGTGAACCGAATCCGAATCCCGGCGAACTCAATCGAAGGCAAAAGTCTGTGGTGCTTTTTGTGGCATGGCCAGTGGCGCACACCCACTTTGCTTCGGTGGTCTCGCGAGGAACGTGAGGCATTTTGTTTACAACAACAAAAAACGGACGGGGGAAAACAGACGGTCGACGGTCCGGAAAACATCAAAATGGTCAGGAAATTCTCTACAGTTTAATGGGCCAAATTGTCGGATGATGTGTTTAGATATTTTGGTTACATTCAATGGAAAAAGAAATACCTAATTTTATAGGGGCTGCAAATGAATTTTTAGGGAGTTTGAAATCTTTAATAAAAGTGTCTAAAAGTAGGCAACAAAAAAAGTAAATAATTTCCTTCTTTTTTCACTGATTACTTTTAGACACCTTGAGTAAATCACATATTTATTTCATTTGTATTATCTTTAATAAAGGTAGAGTCTTTTCTATTCGCATTTAATTAACACCTCCTCCAGAAATATGACAAGAGGCAAAGAGAACTCAATTCACGCAAAAAAATAAAAGACCGGACGCTCTCTAGACATCGGCAGATACAGCTCGCGATACTAGATATTAGCAAGAGTGAATAGATAGGGATAAAGGCCTTTTGGACATTGTCAATTGCGTCATTAACGAATCATTTGTTGCGTGCCACTTGGCCTGTGCTAATCCAACCCCAAAGACATCCAAACCAAACACCTCGCAGCACGTCATCGAGTCAAGCGAAGTCAAAGGGTGGACACTCGAGGAATAGTTTACTATTAAACCATTAACTGGGAACTTCTCCTTTTGACACGGTAGCCTCGAGCTTTGAACAAATTATTCATAAAGAAAATTAGTTAAAAAGAAGAGGGGAAGGAAACCCTTAGAATTAAGAATTTATTCGCTAAACGCAATTATTGCGTGCGACAGTTGTGCGGATTTCTGGAAGGGATACAGAAAAATACTCAGAGAAGATCTAAGAAAAGGTACTGAAAACTATTTTCTTGATTTCTTAACTGTATTAATGCACATCATCTTGAGTTTATTAAATCATATTAATCTTAGGGCTAGTATACTGAGGCACTTATTTTACATACACTTATCTGTTTGCGACAGACTAAATGATTCATCAGCTAAGTGAATACCAGAGTTCATAGATGAGCAATCATCTCAGTTCTCATTTCGAATTAAAGTGATGTCACTGTCGGTTTGTAGGGAGAATCTTTTAAGGGAAAGATAGGATGTGTTAAAGAAGATAATATAAAAATATAGGCTATAACAACCTGAAGATTTCAAATCGCCCTTCTCATCGAACTTGTAGACGCGAGCATTTATGACACTCAGATCGGTTTGACTCGATTCCCTGTAAAAAAGTAAGAAAATGTTTAAACGATTTAAAGTTTCATTAAAAAAAAATAACTTACACATTGATGGCCCACCAGGTTTTCACGTGCGAATTCTTGCCAAGAAGCAGGATAAAACCAGCTATGGCCAGGCCCAAAATGCAAATCCCACTCCAGAAGTCAATGATGAAGAAGTGCTCTCTTACTCTTGCCATTATGTAGACGACTATTTCGCGAACCCAAACAGCAAACACGCCCACTATGTAGGCGCTGAAAGCATAGAAACTAGAGAGGCACATGCCGGTTAGTTTAACCTCGGGTTAAGCAAAAGCAAGCTTCTTTGCTTACTGGGTCTTGACGATCTTCAGCTGAGTGCCTAATATGTACTGAGTATCTGGTGGCAGTTCGTAAATGGAAAAGTATGCTTTCAGGCAGCAAACAATGCTGAAAATAAGCAGGATCGTAATGGGTGCGTAGTAGTAGATCAAAATGCCCCATGTGCGGACTGAAAATGGAGAGTTCATTTTGATATTATTTAACATTTTATGATTCCTTTTTTAATTTACCATCGAACCAGCAATAATCCTCTCCCATTCCTGGCTTGTAGTGCTTGGGCAATTTGGAGTCCTGGGCAAAGGAAACCAAAAACCTTAATCCAATTACCGCCAAAACTGCCAAAGCATACGACAACCGACGCACCCAGTTTCTAACCGCCTTTTGTTTGAACTTGAGCAGAAAGTCAAGACTGCAAATGGCCAGGAAGGCAAAGGAGAGCATGATGCAAAAGTAGGCCAAAAATCCTAGGGGGATTAAAGATTAAATTAAATGGGTTAATTTCCAGTGGAGAGGATTCTTTACACACCTATATTTCTGCAAGCCGCATGCGAGAGCTTCATGGGATTCTTCAGCGCCAAGTAAACCAACAAGGAGTAGCCCACGATCATGGAGAGCAGGTAGTAGATGATTAGTTGGCCATAGTGACTCTTCCTGGCATCTCTCACAGATCCAAGGAGCGAGAGAATGAAGACGTTTATAATGATGGCTATAATACTGCCTAGAAAAGAAGTTTATATTAGAGTCTTTAGGATTCGAGTCTTTAGGATTGGAGTTCGTTGGATTAGAGTCTTTAGGATTAGAGTCTTTAGGATTGGAGTCTTTAGGATTAGAGTCTTTAGGATTGGAGTGTTTAGGATTGGAGTCTTTAGGATTGGAGTTCTTTGGATTACAGTCTTTGGGATTGGAGTTCTTTGGATTAGAGTCTTTAGGACTAGAGTCTTCAAGATTGGAGTCTTTAGAATTAGAGTCTTTAGATTGGAGTCTTTAAGAGTAGAGTCTTTAGCATTCGAGTCTTCAGGATTAGAGTCTTTTTTAAAGTTTAATTAATACCATCAATAACTTACAAATAGCGTAGATCCAAACACGGTAGCCCGTCTGAAAGCGCTCACAGCTGAGCGGAGTGAGCTCCCACTGCTCGGGCTTGTGTTCCAAAGGACTAAAGCAGTACTCATCCGTGGACCAAAGGCGGTTGTCCCGTTGCAGCGATCCGTTCTCGAATAGATCCCACTCCCAGAAGTTCTCGTGCTTCTTGTCAACGAACTTGTTCCGGCAACCGAGCTCTGTGCGCACCACAAACCGATCGAGAATGCGCACTTGTTCCACCGACCGATTAGCGTAGGTCAGCTCCACGTGCGTGGATTCCCGCGTTTGGTGTGGCTTCGAGCAGTTCCAATTCTTCGCGTCGAATACGAGATTCTCCGGGCAACAGAAGCTAATGCAGGGCTTCAGCAGGCAGACGCAACCGCGTAGATGTTTCTTCGCGCGGTACTCCACACCATCGATCACTTTGAAGGAGTACTCGGCCATCAAATGCGGAGGAACAATTACTCCGCCGTAAGAATAGGAGCCATCCTTCAGCCGGAGACCATCCGTAATGTTAACCGTATCCGCATAGGCACATGGATGGTCGATACTGGCAATCTCCAGAGATTCTACGCCCACGAAGAGCCCGAGAGCCAGAGGAATGATCCAAACCCAAGACATGGTTGGTAATACTAAGCTCTATTCGATCGTCTACCTGACGTCACTGTGCCAAGCAGCACTCGATAATTAAGTAAACAAATATGTGAAGCGATCGCCGTTCGGTTTTGGGCAATGCACGCACACTCGTCGAGTCACAAATCCGAAGCAACAACAATCGAAGCCCAAAATTGACAACGAATGTGACGCGGGTCTAAAAACGGCTGCGATTGCGACAACGACAACGAAAAAAGAAAAAGAACAACCATAAACATAAAAGCCTGATGGAGAGACTCTCCCGGTTGTTGTTGTCTTTGCTCTCTCTAAACGACAAACCGGCAACCGCAAGGCAGCTCCATGCTGGCCAAGAATAAAAAACAGACTAACTGATTAGCCAGTCCCAAAACCAGACGCGACCACAAGCAGCCGGCAAAAAAGTTGGAACCGTTGCCTCCCGCGTCCCTCTCCACATAAGTCCACCGTGGAATCTCAACCAGCGCGACTGGCACATTCAAAATTTATTTTTTGATAGGCACCAGTGTTGTGGCTTTAGCTATTCTAGCAATTTTTAAAACTAAGGTGCTAAATCCTAGACTTGATAAAAAGGTTAAATTAATTTAATATTTTGTTAATTTTCTTATTTGTAACTGTTAAAAAATATATCATAATACCAAAATTCAAGATCAAAAGATCTAGGCAAAGCTTTGCTTTTCGAAATTTAGAAAACTTTAAAAAGGTAAATGTCCAGACTATAAAAAGACAGTCTTACTGGAGGTGTGTGTACTAGCTAAATATCGTTTACGATCTTGAAACATATTTAAAGACTATTAAAATTGCAGAACGGAATAAACCCATTTAAATTAGATATTATAATGTAAAATCCTGCTATCTCTAACTCAAAGAAGTCTAAGCTAAAATCGACTGGAGAATGGAGTGTTTCTTGGCTAAACGTATTTCACAATTAAGTCACCACAGTCTGTGAATTTATGAGTAATGTATTTCCTGTCATTAAAAGACAGATGTCAATTGGCTAAGGAAAAAAACAGTTTTCTTTCACTTTTATCTTTGGCTTTATTAAGCTTGAAATACAAATATAATCGTTGTATTTTATAACATTAGTGGAGATAATGCAGATATGGAGAATGGTACGTATATGCAAAGAGAGCAATACAAATAACAAACAATAGAAATCTCAATTTCAACAAGGCACATCTATCTATATAATGTATTGTGTATGCTGGTGGTTTTTATCTTGGACTTACGACTAATGGAGTAGTACAAAATTTGATCCTCAGCAGGTGTTTTATAATTTCATAGGCATAAATACTATAGATATGGCCTTGCAAAGCGTTCTTATACAACTAATCAGGTTGTTCGTGGTCACGTGACATTTAAAAAAGAGAGAAATGGATAAGGATGGTTCGTGGTTTTGGGGGGATAGGGACTTTCTATCTTATAGTAGTGTCTTTCATAAAGTTCTATCCTTATATGGCTGCTGCTGCGCAATCTGGTAGATATGCTCCAGAATCAGGGTGTTCCATATTTACAGAAAGGATTAATCCTCCCTGTTCTGGAACACACTTCCCAGTGTAGTAGACTATTCGATGCTCGGTGGCCCAAGTTGAGTGCTCAGCGAAAGATGGTGGTTCTTTGGGGATCCACGAGAGGCTTCTCCACCGACGGCTTCTCGTGCAGCGACAGATTGGCCACGCTGCTCGACGTGGTCTTCGTGGAGTACTGACTCTGACGTTGATTACTGCCATCGCGAACACTCGAGCATCTGATGTTTCGAGTTGTGGAGTGGTCATGACGTCCATTGCGTGGGCAGCGTGGAATAGACAATGGCGGTAAATCTGATTAGAATTGGTTCGGTTGAGTGTTTTTTTTAGTCGGAGGGGGAAAAGCACACAAATAGAGAAAAGGGTTTACCTCCACCAATATACAAAAGTAAAAAGTCAGTATGATTAGGGGGTTAGTCAGTATCTTTCAACTACGTACGTTAGCTACTCTTCTAAACTCCAGTTTTACCTTTTTGACCTTTTCGATTAGATCGATACCTTTGGCATAGGATTAGGTTCAGGGGTCTTACCACCTGCTACCCTGTCCACAGCCTTTAGGTGCAGCTTTTTCGGCAGCACATTCGAGTCAGAGGTGATGGAAGTCGAGGTGGTGTTCGAGCTCAAACCATTCGAGCGTTTCTTCTCCAGCAGTCTTCAGTGGCGGACAATGATGATCACATTGATGTTGAGATGTTGGGACACATGCACATATATGAACACACATTGTAGATGCAAACATAAGTTGGTGTTTAGATCAGGGCACTTAGATATGGCTGTTTACTGTTTAGTAGCTACATATACGCGATGCATAATGGACGGATTTCGATTTGGTTTTGGTTCTTGGGGCTTGGGCTTAGTTTTGACTAGGTTATTTGGCCCAGCCTAGGCGGCTGGAGATTCGGGGCTGTGTTGGCTGTCAGTGTTGGGTTTAGAGTTAGAGTTGAGCTTGCGCTTAAGCACTATCGAAAGCGGTCTGACAACGAAATAATAAGTACAACATAAAGATAATCAGAGGCTGTGAGGCTGAGTTGTGTCTTAATCCTGAAATCTCTTCGTTCGTTTCTATCTAAACCAGTGTTTGCCAGCACAACTTTCTCTTATAGCTTGAAAAATTTCGATATTTTTGATGTTTTCAAAATATTGTATCGATAATATCGATGTTTTCACAATATCGCATCGATGATGTCTATGTTTTCAAGGAAAGAAAAGTAAAATCTATAAAAATTATAACTAGATAACATAAATTGATAAAAAATAATATCGAAAATATCGATAAATCCGATATTTTTCAAGCTTCTGGCAAACACTGATCGATAAATCGATTGTCAATATAATAGAGATTCAAGGATCGCTACGTCAGCTAATATTCTAAATTTAGGAGCGGGTTAGTCGAAGGCCACAACAATCGAGCAGAATCTAGAGCCTGCTTACTGCAATCGACTGGATCAATTCAGACTTCGTGGGAGTGAATGCCGCTTGTGGAGCCATTGGCGAAGGCGTTGCGGATCACCACCAGCTTGCGGATCTGGTTGGAGGCGTCCATGAAACGCTGTCGCATGGAGAACGAAGTCGGGCCCATCGTAACGCTCTCAGTCTGCCGCAGACTTCGCACCCGTATCGTTCTGAGAGAATGTTCGGGGTTACAGATTCGATGTGGAGGACAGTAGACACACGGTTCGGGGTGAATGGACAAACGCCAAATTAAGGCGGGACAAAACAGAACTCGAAACTCTGAACTCGAAGCAACACATACCTGTTTGTGATCAAGTGCTTGACCTTCTTCTTCATCACGAACAGCATAAAGATGAGGAAGCCCTGCATGGCGTTGGCCAGATCCGAGATGTAGAAGAGCTTCGACCACTCCTTATCGCTGCCCACGAAGAACGAGACGAGTTCTGATAACCAGGTGATGCCCATGATGAGGAAGAGACGCAGAAACAGGCCAAATCTGATATTGGAATAAACACCACGACGAAGAATTTTTCTAATGAGAAGTTGATTGGAAAAAACTGCAGAAACTCACTTGTCCTTCTCGGTGCGCAGATTCTTGGTGCTGTTCTCACTGGCAATTATCCTGGCCATCTCCCGCTGCACACCGTGAATCTTGATCGCCGTCATTATAAACATAATAGTATTCGCCACCACGATCGCCATAATGGGACCGTAGAAATAGATCATGGCCGACCAGTTGGTCATATCCAGCCAGCAATATGTTCCATCGCCAATTCCCGGCTTTAGATATGGTGGCCAATGGGTTAATTCCTGAGCGGTATAGGTGAAGGCCAAGAAGGCAACGGCAATTCCCCAAGCATACAGCGAATAGAAGAGGAAGCGCCTGTTCTCCTGGAACCTGTTGATTCCTCTGGTACCTCGGAAATTGTGCCACAAGTCAAAGCTAATGACACTCAGCCACAGGTAGGCACCCATGAAGAAGTAATACGCCGTGTATCCGAGAACCACGCACTCTGTGCTCGTAGCATCGATTTTGTACAGTTGAACGTAGCACAGTGCAGTGTAGCCGACGGACAGGCCCACCAAATAGCAGACCAAACTCTTGCCATGCTGGTTGCGGAGCTCGGGAATCAATAGGTAAACTGCTATGGTCAGCATCATGAAGGGGATGGAGAAGAGCATGGCTGCGGGGGAGAAGATAAAAGTGGAATTATTAGAAAAACTTATAAAAAAAAACGTAAGCAGTTCCTAAACGATGCATCACAATGGTTTTTACATGCAGCTTATGCACCGTTTGGAACCAGCTTAGAACGATGCAGCATCCTCGTATAAATGACTTCATGTTACTGCTGCATTGTTTACAAGTAGCTCGGCGATCTTTCCTAGTAAACAATGCATCGGCAGTCTAGTAGATACTTAGCTGATACATCGTTTAGAGCAGTGGTGGTCAGCAAAAGCACCACACACGTTTTACTGCTTTACAGCGTACGTGTGCGTCGAAACACTGGCAGCGCAGCGGCAGAGAAACTGCCTTTCCCGTGAGCCACAACCACTTACCATAGGCATTAATAAGCTTCACTGTGCCCCGGTCGTCCTGCATCTCGCAGTTGGCCGGCCGAATTGTGTAGAAGAGGTCCGATTCGTTGACATAGGCCGGCACCAGGCAGAACTCATTCTTCCGGATAATCAGACCATCATCAACTCGCAACATGGAGCCGTTCTCGAAAATCGCATAGTTATCCCAGTAGTTGATGTCCGGCTGCAGCGAGAACATCTTGGGGCAGGGACGAAAACTCTGGATCGCAAACTGATGGAACATGTTGACCAATAGCTCACTTTGGTTGCGGAACGTCACATTGAGCATCGGCGGATCTGGCCAAGTGCGATTGTCCATGTGGTCCAAGATGCATCCATCTGTCTTGGAACTGAAGACATGCTTCCACGGGCAGCAGATGTTCAAACAGGACTTCAGCTTGCAGACACATCCTCGCACGTGCTGCGGCACCTCAATTCGCTCCGTTAGCGATCTGTGGATATAGTCGTACGTTCCGATCATGTCGGCGGGCACTATAGTGCCATAGTAGTCGTAGCTTCCGTTCGCGAATTTCATGTGACCCGTCAAGTTGACCGTGTCGTAGAAATTGCACGGCACATTGGGATCATCTATGGTGTGATAGTGATCCCTCTCGGCCATTACGTAAGCGCCGAAAGGGATTCCAGGAATCAGTCGGAAGACCACTAGGCACAGGATTCCCAGCAGAGTGACTCCACAGTACAGGGATCCACCTCGATGCTGGATCTTCTTAGACATGATGGAGGTTCTGGGGAGAGAAAAGTGTATTAGGATTATTTTTGAATTTATTAAACACTTTTATTTATTCGAAATATTACTATATAATGAATTTAAAATATTACTATACTTCATTATTACAAGTGACCTGATTATACGATTTTTTTAAACTTTTCTTAATTTTTTTTTATCATTTTGTGATAAATTTAGTTTATTTCAAATATTGTTTTCCCAAATTGAATACTCCTTAAAATTCGTTTGTAAATTTTTATTTTACCTCACTACCCCCAAAATTTTTAAAATTCGGGGTCACCAAAAATTAAAATTTTGGGAACTTTATAAAATTTGTAACAAAAGTTTTGTAAAAATACATTTTCATCTTCTTCATTTACAGGTACTAAGAAAATGTAATGAAGTAGAAAAGTAGGTATATAAATGAAATAACAAAGTGCATCTTATTAGGTCGTAAACTGTAGGAATTATTACGATCTTTAATATTATACCTACAGTAAAATATAGTTATTAAAGTAAGCGAAGAATGACATTATACGTAAGAAGCAAGTAACTCGTGCCAAATGAAGCCACCAATTAATTTCTATTTACCGATTAGTTAGTCGTTAAATGTTTAGCTAGGCGAGGAGGTCACTAATTTGGGCAATGGAGCCCCTTATAAAAAGGACTCATCAGTGGGCGAAAGTAGTGAATCATCCACGCAGACAACAGGTTGTTCGAAGGACTAAAACCGGGGGGAAATTGGATAGCGTCACAGGCAATTAGCAGCCAACGAGTCCCGGGGGGCGGAACTTGGTAACCTAGGAACTGCGGTCTCCGTGGGGCATCAATCATAAGGTCAGGCACACGCAGGGAGTGCAGACGAGCAAACATTTATGGAATCGTGTTAAATTGATAGTAACTGCCGTCCGTCTGTCAATATCGCTGACATATTCTCCCCCCAAAAACCCTGCTCCAATCCCGATCTGCCCACTTTTTAAGCACTCCTAACGAGCGCGCCAGCCCGTCCATAAATTTATTAGCCCTGCGAACTGAAAGTTATACCACTCCGCGCTATCTTATCATGCATCATTAGCCTGCGGGGACCACCTAATTCATTGATCCGCTGATTGTTTGCCTTCAGTGGAGGAGACCTGTGTGTGGGCCACGAAATTAGCCTGAATTTATGATGAAAGGCAATTGGATGGGAGTTGGAAAGGGAGGGGGAGAAGGACAAACACATTAAACTCCATATATAGTTGGCTAATGGGGAAAATGGATACTGGCACTTATCTTGCTATACAAAAATTAGCATAATTAATCGGGGAATTTCAGCAGATATATATAGATATACCCGCCGCACATTGAGAGTGCGAAAAAGTGGTGCTGCGGATGTTTGAAAAATAATCAAAGCATGCGGAACATTAAAATCATGAAAACAATTGCCCATAAAATTGAATTATGGCCTGCGATCTATACGCTTTTTCGAAATTATTTCCCCTGAATTTTTCTTCCCCCGAAGTGTGCCAAAAATTATTTGGCATCGGTTTGATAAAAGCAATATTTCTTTAAAATCTCTTTTTGCGGTTTACGATTTTTTGTGTATTTATATTTTGATTGGCCAAGCACTTATTCAGGTTGAATTGTTTGATTCGACTTCTCCAAACGATTTCCTCCCAGTTCTAGAGAAGTCGTAATATCAGCGAACGGAACGATTAAATATTTTGATCGAGGCTTATATTGTTTGATTGATGGCGCTATCGTAATGATGGGAAAGTGATTCTAGGAATGCCAAATAGGATTGATCTGAATCAGGAATGCCAAGCAGGGATTGTTTACGAATATATATCCCACCTTAATAAGTGGAAAAAATAATTTTAAGTAGCAGTTTTGAGGTTTGAAAATAACTAGATAATATAATATTGGAAGTAATACAGATTTTTTAAAAGTGAAAATGTCATTTTGTTGTTTTTATTAATATCTATCGAAATGTAGAAGAACATTTTTAAATCGAACCATTCGTTCTAAAGTTATGAGCAAATAAAAGATTGCAAGCAGTGCAAGCAGTAGATTTACTGCTAGCATAACTTCATCTCCCTCGCACTCCCTTTAGCTAAGTACCGGCTATTTTACCTCTTGTTTTTTATTTATTTATTATTACTTCATAAGCACAAATTTGAATCGGAATATGAAAGGGCAACTGTTGATATGTTTTCGCAGTCGACTCGTATAAAATGTCTTATTTGTGGTCGGTAACCGATAAGATAAAGTCTATTGGCCAACGACGCCTGCTAATGTCTGACAAAGGAGTATGACTTTCTTGTTTATTAATACAGAGGTATTCATATACCTATGGGTAGAATGTTCCGCGAGCGACTTATCGAATCGATTTGGATCCCCAGTTCCAGTTAAAAATGTGAGCCATTTCTATGATTTTACCGACTATTACTTACAGATGCTCGGCAATTCGACTCCTTAGGTTTTTGGTCTGGGACTCGGTTATTATCTGGTTGATTATGACAGTTGGGGGATTGTCCATGGTCAGGATGTGGGAGGTGTGAGTAATGGAGGAACTGAGTCATCCAAGGCATTAAAATCCCATTACCTTTGGCCGAAGAAGCCAGGGCATTAAACCCCCAAGAAGATTTATCGGTCACAAGGCGTATACGCAATATAAACTACGACACCATCCACATATTAAAATCGAAAATGACCGAACAAAACAAACTTTACACACACGGAACTCGATTGAAAACTCAAACTCAAGTGAACTCAACTCACATAAATTATAATCTGTATATTGTTTTTATCCGCATTCAGTTTTTATACAAACTGTCTTTTGGTTTTTGGGTTTTTTTATGCTGATGTTTTTTGTTTTTTTTAACCACTTTTAGTGCTTATCACGTATGCCTCAAAAGCACTGGAATTACTTCTCATATATATAATGCCCATTATCTTTCCGGAGGGCAACGCGGTTTTCAGTCCGTATCAGAAGAGGAACTAATCGCTAAAAAGGCAGGAGACTCTGCCGTGCGAAGAGCCCATGATTAAAAGTCACCACAACGGCAGAAGTGGAACTGTGGTGAGCTGCGGTGAGTTTTTCGCTTTTCAGTTCTCGACAGTCGGTTCTCCATTCTCCCCTAGATAAGCAGCGATTACACTGGGTCCAGTGTTTTTTATTTCCCCTGCAAACAAACACTTGGCAAACAAATTTTTAATAGCCAACCCATTGACGGGTTTGCTTTGCGCTTGCTGGGCTCGAATATATTTCGTGAGAAAATTCCAACTGGAGTATTTTTAGACCCCCCGATGCTGATGATGTGGATTGCAAACAAAGGCGGGCGGTTCTATCAATTGATTGCCATTAGAGTGGGCGGGTGCAAGTTCGCCAAATATTATTCCACTGACAACTTAGTTTTTTTCCCGGGGGGTAAAATGAGAAGAGAATTGATCGACAGATCCCATTCACGGGGAATTGGAGATCTCGAGACATTAAAAGATATATGGCCCGTCATCATGGATGTCCGTTGGCGCTCTTCACTTTTAATGAAAGACCATTATAAAATTGTGAATTCCTAAAAAAATCCCCTAGAATTTAATTTATTTTTCCTATAAAAGCTTTGGCCAAAGTCATTAAAGAATATAATCCCCTATAATTAAATATTACTTAAATAGTGTTTTCTATTTTCTAACAAAACTTTGGCAAAAGCCATTTGAATACCTAAAAAAAATCCCCCTAAAATTGCATAATTCATAAATATTTTATCTTATTCGTTTCTATTTAAAGATTACCTAAATACCTAATCCCATCCACAGAATAAGAATCGATTATGGTTCTTAAAACGAACTAACTAATTGATCGATCCCATAAATACTTTTGGCAGGCGCTATCTAAAACTCATTTGGAGAAAGAGAAATCCCTGCCAGTGGTTACTCATTTTATATATTTAGACTTTTCTACGTAAGATATAAACATTAAATGGTTTATGGAGTGTTAACTAGTGGAAGAAATGACATTAAGGGAGCCCTAAATGTCTTAAATTGCGTTAGTTATGATCCCTTGTGAGGCAGAAAGGCCAGCTGTAAAAACACACTAGAAAGACTACTACAACTTGAAAATCATTCCACTAATTAATTGCTACATGCACTTGGCTTATCGTGGAAATAAATGCACAGCGGGAAAAGAAAAAGTGCCCCACCCCAAAAACCTAAACTAATGTGCGTGATAATACTTAAGACCCTGCCCCACTTTTAAACGTGTAATATATTTGTGTATCTATCTATTTAGATAATATTCCTGAGAAGGATGCAATATATGTGCTTATGATATATTTTTATCTAATACTCAGGAGGTTGGAAAAAATTGTAGCGAAATAAACAGACCTCAAAGCAAACAATAAACAATATTCCCAAGATGTTTCAACAACAATTCCCAGCCAAATGTGCGAAAGTGTAAACAACATTTAACAAAATCGAATTCTGAATCGAAAGAAACAGTTCAGGTCTGATTGGATTGGATTGGATTGTACCAAGGTGCGGCCTTTGAAAGGGGGTGTATATGGCCATTTCGCTACAATAACCATTTTCTCAGTGACTCAATAAAAGTGCATCGGGTGGGAACAGTTGGCTAAACACTAACCAGCCGTCATTTGGTATTTGTCATGAAATTAGCAGTTCTCAGCTTTGATTTTCTAATCAGGAAACTTCGATTGCCATTACTTTTTTATGGCCATCAGTTTGCACACTTTTCTTTCTACAAGTGCGAAACTTATCAACGGAGTCAGGAAAACCTTTTTATAATTGCATAATATTACAATAAATTATCGTGCAAACAGAAAAAAACATCTTGATATTAATTTTTCTCAATTTGATATTATTTATATAAAAATAGATACTACAAATATACAAATACAAATACAAATATTCTTGGAAAGATTTCTATAATATCAAAGAAAGAACATTTTAATATCAAATTGATCTTAATTTTCTGTGTGCATTATCACCATAAGAGATTTCAGTTCATTCTTTTAAACAAAACGCGGAAGGGTTTCGAATAATATTCCATTTCTGATCCCAGTAGTTAATGGCATGCAACTTACTTAGACACTTCAGGTGATGAATGATGTGAGCAACTTAAAGTTGTTTGCTGATCAACAAAGTTTTTCCTGTTGCTGTTGTTGTTTTAGTTCGCTCACTTTCTAGTTATAGATTAGTTGGGAACTTCAGTACATCAGTAACTAAAAAACACTGACCACGTATAGAAAGATGGGGTAAACAAAAACCGTCGAACCTCTGTGATGAGAGTCTTTTGGGGTTTATGGGCTTTTTGTCGCCTTGCAAAAAGCGCTTCAACGAAACATGGTTTCGGTTTTAAATTCGACTTGCGTTACGAGTTGTGTGTTTGCTTTTTATCAGGTTTACTTATGCAAATTTTAACTGGGAAGAGTCTGCGGCTCAAGGCAGGTAACCACATAAACGTTTCTCAAGAAATCAACAGATCCTCATATCCATAAAATGAGTTGATAAAACGCGTCTCTTTTTCACAATATCATATGGGGAATGGGGAATTCCCTGAGAAGTGGGTGTTAGCACTCGAACACACGCGAACCGGTTATGATAGTAGTTCGGTTTTTTAGACACCGGCAAAATCACACGCTAGCTTACGAGTTAATTAACATTGACATTCGTAATTCCGATATACCGATATAATGATATAGCTAGCGGATATTTTTGTATAGAGTTTTTCGACTTCCGACCGACTGAGTTAGTAGCACCCACAGCCAGCGACGTCTTGAGGTGAACTGCGGAGCTATGGCGAAAAATACTCAAGGAACCACTTAACAGACCTATACCAGAGCCATGTTTCGGGTCTGTTAACCGCCCCCGAGTGCTTTTCGCTCGCCAACTGTTGCGCTAATTGAAAGGCAGGCAAAACAAAGCGCCGAACAATACGAAATTTGATCGAGTGCCAACAGTGGCTCGATTGTGTCTGAGGGCAAACAAAACAATTACCGGACGATGAATGGACTTCTTGAGTGGTGGAGTGGTGAAGTAGAGTAGTGGCCCCCGGGGGAAACACGGGTGATGACTCAAGTTATTTAGTTTACAAATTAATTAGCAGGGGCGCCAGAGCAGCTTTTTTGTAGACCACTGAAGTTCTCCCTCTCATTTCAAACATTCCAGCGAGATTTCTCTTTTGTTTTGATCGAGTGATTTGGCGGAAGAATGCAGAGATGGAACTTACTGTATTCTTAGTAAGGAGATCCTACACTGCTAAATAAACAAGTAGTAATTCCAAAGATTTTAGATTCAATTTAAAAATATTTTTATCATTTGCGTTACTTTTAAGACTTAAAATGTGCAAATGTGCGGACACACGCCTCTCTTGCATTGGGCACACCTCGATACTTCTTTGATTTAATGACTAACATTGTATTAAATATTTTCTACCGTGATTAAAATAATACAAAATTTTATCATGCACATTAATACGTTTATATTACCCATATTTATATGAACTATTTATTATTTTCAGTATAAGCTTTAATTGATCTCTGATCTAGGGAACTTGGTTATAGTGTGATCCAATAAAAGTTATCCAACTACCTTATCGTTTTCAATCTTCTGAATGCTACTTTTTTTGTTTATATAAAAATAAATGCAACGGCAGATTTAAGTCATCAAAAGGAAGCTTCCAAAACCCACGTCTTCAAAGTGGGAAACAAGGCATTAGCACGTAGAGCTACGGATATATTAAGTAAAAATTAAAACACAGCTCGACGTGTTTGGAATCAGCTGTGTTTCTTTTTGACCAGTCCAAGTATAGTTCGAACCAACCATGGAACCCCGAACATTACACACCTCAATAACAAATAAATATTCAATTAAAAATCCCATTTAATATGTTTTACGAACGACGAACGTGTGACGAATGATTCCGGGAGAGGTATTCCCTAAATTTAGCTGCCGTCATTTGGCGAACTTGAGAAAAAGACAAAAAACTGGTTTTGGCATTGAACGCAGGTACACAAACATATAGGTTCACCAATAATAAACTAAAAAAAATCAGTACGAAACAATTGGCGATACTCATGAAGAGACAACGCGACTGTTTGTTGTGGGCCGAGGCGAGACATTAAAGTCGCATTATATATTGTACATTATAACCATCATATAAGCATGTGGAGCTCCTCTGATTTCGCAACTCGACGAAGGGGCGGATTCCCAGAAGCCAAGACCTTGAGCGAGGAGCATTCCACCGAACGATCTCAGGATTTCTTAATTGCCTCCGCACACACAGTCTTTGTTTTGCCATATTTGTATCAGTTATTGTAGTTTTTAATTCCGTCGCTCGACAAATTTACTTTGTTAATTAAAATTTAGTGATTAGTGTGCTTACTGGACCAGAGTTAAAGGCTAGATAAGCGCGACTAGTCGGGTTTATGATATGATATATCCCGAGCGACAAGTTCCCCGATTGACCCGCAAGTGAACTTCTTCATTGGCCGAATTCGCTGCCACTGAATCCACTCGTCTGCGATGCTCCAGTTTTGCTCAGTTTCCTCGTAGCGCCAATATTTTTGGTCGGAAAGCTGCGGCGAAAAGCTAAGCTAGTTGAAAAGAAAGCTTTCGAGCGCCACTTTTTGATTTAATAAAAAGATTTTACATTAGTTTCGTATTAAAAAAATATTTAACCATGTAGAGTAGACAAAAATTCAGAAACAGTAGAAGAATTCGAATGGTTTCAAGACTTGATATTTTAACTGATTCCAAATGAATTTAAATTAAGCAAAATATTTCTACGTGCTTATGTTTTATTTGACTTCCCTTTAATGTGAGAACATAAAGACTTCACAATAAATAATAATAATGTAAATATTGTTCAAAAAAGTATACCCTTAACCGGAAAAAAATTAATATTCCTGCTATGTTATTTCTTTATTTTAAAAATGCACATTTGTTAACTTTGTTAAGTAAATAATAATTCCCGATATTACCATATTAAACATGGCTTAAAACATGGGAAAAGCTTGTGTTTAAAACCTACTTTTAGCTTAACTTACTGTCGCCAATTTCATAGTTCTAGGGCCGATTTCTCAACCGCATGTTAAATTTTAAGTAAGTGGAAAACCCTGAAAAATTTATGGGAATTCAGTGCTTAAAAAGTAAGTACCTAACTCCTGAAAGTTAATAAATTAAGTTATTGTGGTTAAATGCAGACATTTATGCATCAGATGGTGTTCTTGTGAATTGGTTAAAGGATCCTCCCGCCGTGCTCCTACTTCCTTTTGATCTGGTACTGATGGCACTCCACGTGGGTTTAGGATTGTGCCTAGGAAGAAAACATAATTACTAGTATATAACAGGAAAATAAGGACTCAATAAAAACTTAAAACCGTGCAAAAATAAATGAAGCTACATAAGTGAGGACAGGAGACTAACACCATGCTAAAATAAAGCACAATAACTTTAAAGTGAAAAGCAAAAAACCAGGGAACAAGTGTTTCAAAACATAAAAACCCGCTGGATTAGAGTGCGCTTTCGATCTTACATGCAATATTATTTAGCGCTTATTAGTACTATTTTCCAACACCAACAAAAAAATGGGTTCCTTTCGGATTACCTATTACAGAACATTTCGATCATATTTCGTATTCTCTAGCGAAATCTCTTCTTCGCTGTCAAGGGCATCCTCACTCTCACCCTTAATGCTGCTCAGGCGGAGGGACAATGATTTAACCTGATTAGTATATCTCGTTGGCAGAATTGCAAATTACTTACCGATCCCTCAAGAGTTTCAGCGTGCTGCGCTTTAGAATAAACAGCACAAATATTATAATTCCCTGAGACCAGTTAAAGTAATCAGCCACTCTAAAAATTCCTGCCCAAGTTTCGTGGGATTGCACCAAGTAGGATATTATCTCTAAACTCCACGACATTCCCATGATGATGAAGAGCCGCAAAAAGAAGGTGTAACTGAAATGGAAACAGGATACTTTAGTTATAAACTAAACTTTTAGTTTAACAGGACGATTTCTCAATGTAAGGTTAAGGTTCTGGTTATTTATCTGTCACAGAAAGTTAATGACAAGTCTTTAAAGACTGTTATCAGTTAATTACAGTTAACCAGCACTTAACCTGACACTGAGAAATCGCCCCTAAGTATGTATTACGTTTGTTTGTCCGAGTTTAGCTTCTGCTTTCTCTCTTGCTTGTGGGCAAAGTTCTGAATGTCCTTCTTCACTCGAACTATACGAACGGCCGTCAGAATAAACATGACTATGTTAAACACAATCAGTATCAACATAGGTCCATAGAAGTAGAGCATGGCTGACCACTCCAGAGCTGAAAAAGAGGCAATATAAGTCGGAATCCTTTATAAATGATTTACCGAAACCTACTGTATATCCAACAATGGCCTGAGCCGGCCATTCGAGGATTCCAGTACTCATTCTCCACGACCTTATCAGCTAGAAAGGTAATTGCAGTTAAAGCCGAGGCCATTCCCCAGGCGTAGGCGTTGTAGGCCAGAAACCGATGCTCTGGCAGGAAGCGATTTATCATGCCGGAGGTGCCGCTGAAAGTATTCCAGAGATGCAGACTGATGACCGAAAGCCAAAAGAATGCGGCCATGACGAAAAAGTAACCCATGAAACCGGCTGTAATGCAGATGCTGACCGATAATCCCCACAAGTCGAGCAACAGGAAGAGGTAACCCATGAAGAGACAGACCATGTAGCAGATGAAGCACTTGCCGTGCAGGTTCTGTAGCTTTTTAACGTACAGATAAACGCTGATCGTGAAAACCATACAAACGAGCGATGAGATGATTACTGTGAAACGGGATTAAAAAAAATTAAAAGTCTGAAAAGGACACTGATTTCTCAATATCATGTTAGGGTTAACCTGAAGTTAAATTCGTTTTTCCTTTTTAAGTTACTGATAGTTTCTGAAAAAGCAATTTAACCTAAGGACAAAAGTTAGCCTGACATTGAGAAATCGGCTCGTATATCATTCAACTTACGGATGGTCTGCCATGTTCTGGATGGTGTTATATAGCAGTTATGTGGTGCAATTCGTATGAATGTTTTATTACCATCTGAGAAATTAAGATGCTGAAGACAGTATTCTCGCTTGCTCATAATTGCGTTGTCATAATGGCGATAAAAAGTTCCATTCTAAAAAAAAAATTCCATTAAATTTGCCATCGATACCGATTATTGAGCAACTAAACCTCGAACAGTGTGTAATTATCCATTTCATCTCGATCGTCCAGGTAGAACATCCCATCCTCACAGGGCATCGGTAGGTCCCATTGAACGATTAGTTCCTTCTTGAAGTGCCTTTTGACCTCTGACCCATCGTCAAGGGTCACGTCGACGTAAGGATCGAGGTCTAAGAGTTCTTTCTCCGTCATATCATCGAAGCACTCTCCATTTACCATTATGTGATCGTGTGGGCAGCAAAATCTAACACAGGTCTTCAGTTTGCAAACACATCCCCTCATGTGACTTTTAACCTCCTCTTTGGAGTCGTCCGGTAGAATCCTAAAGTCATATATTCCCGTTAACTCGGCGGGAATTAGTAGATCTTCGTATAAATATGACCCATTGGGGAACTTTTGACCTGACGAAATATCGACGGTGTCAAAGAAATTACAATCGGGAATATCAGCGCTGGTTTTTTGCAGGACTAGCAAAATAGCTGCTAAAAACGATATTCGAAATATACCCATTGATCTAAAAATAAAAAAGGAAAGTAACCTTTAGCAATGTTTGGGCAAATTAAAAGGTTCTTAAGTACATGTTAATATATTCCACTGAGTTCCAAATTGGGGTGACCGAAAAGTTCTCAAGCTGGTTTCAAAATCTTGATCCCTATAATATCCGATCCTTGATCCGATTTAAGACTGTCCATTATTGGTTCCTTGAGATGGAGGTGGGCTTCGGTTAACCGACTGATTAGGATGTGGAGTTCTGTTTCAACAGAATTTTTTAATTAAAATGTTTTAAATAAATTTTTTTTGTAGAATTGTAAATTTGAAATATTTTCTGGAAGGGTATACAAAATCCATGCATAGAAATTTAGTAAGCGCAATTTTTTAATTATTTGATTGTTCATCATGGGTTCCAGACCATTAATATTGATGTTATGAATCACATGAAATTTCCTGGTTGCTATCGGCGTTGGCAACAATCTTGAAAAGTATATATAAGTAAACTACTTATTTAATTTCAGATAAGAGGACGATTTATTATTTATTTAACATGACAAATGATCCGCCCACAATTGCGATTTTTATAAACTGAATGGAACAAAAATGGTTAAATTTTGGGTTATTTTATGCAATCTGGATTTTTTTGTTAAAATATTAAAATTATCGTTGGTCGGATTTTTTAGGACGTACATCCGTTTTAAATATTAAACATCACAAAAAAAACAGAGAAATCGAGACAGGAAACTGAATTTAACTTTAATTTTTAAACGAATTGGAATTTCAAAATCTAAAAAAAATGGTTTTATATTTATAAGATAGCCGTGGAATTTGCAGCTTCATCACAAAAAAATCAAAATTTAAAATAAATAGTTATTTAGACTTAAAACTTTAGCATGGTAATTCTCTTATTTTTAATTCTCAATGTTTGATTCTGTTAATGAAAGCCAGGTTTAAATTCGGCGCTCAGTAGATTACAGGTGGAGAAGACACTGTTTGATAGGCAAATCGATAAACGATAAAGACCGAGAGCGATGCCCTCCACCTCTTCGAAAGAAGAACAATGACGTGCTGGCATTATAATGTGGAGGAGATCGCTATTGCTACTGTTCGCCTGTTAGAATGCGACCGGGACTTAAGGTGTTAAGTGTTGTACCACTCAATTAGAAAGTATCTTTGGTATTTATTTTGTTTCAGCTGTGATCTAGTAGATTTCGACCTCACCTACATATATTAAGTTCTTTGTGTTTTATTTTAATTTTCTTTCTTTCGCTGCTGCCCACACGATCGGTTTAAGTTCACCACAACACTGATCGGCCATCATCATACACACCATACACATATGTACATTATTAAGACTGTTAAACGGTATTTTTTCAGGATATTTCAAAGCGGGAAAATTTAAAATGTAAAATAAAGGAACTGTTTTTAAAGAAGAAATTTAAAAGAAACGGTTTTTTTTAGAGGTTAAGAAGTGCATGTTTTTTTTTTGCTTTTGGAGGAAATAATAGACTGATGGTGTGAATAAAAAAAAATGTTGTTTCAGAACCGTCCGATTTATTTTATATAACTTCGAATGTAAAACTATAATCGTTCTAATTTTATACTTCAAGTTAATGAGCAATTTGTAAAAATTAAAAAATAATGTTAAAGTAGAACTGTATCAACAGAACTTAAATACAAATAATTTATAGAAATTTATAAATAAAAAAAATTAGTGTTAAAATTTTTTTAAAATATCGACCAAATTTGTTTAGACTTAACAGTTAAATGTTATCAGTGGGAAGAACCGAGATTAAAAAGTTAACAGAGCGCTTAAACATGAGTGCAACTATCGATAAACTGTTTTTGGTATATTTAAGCAAAATAGAAATGGTATATTCCCTACAGCCGGATGGTATAATTGCCCGATAATTCTGCGGTCACACTGTCTATAATTTTTTTCGCCGTCGGTTCTGTTTCGTTCGGTTTGTTTTCTTTTCCTCCGTTTCCGAGAAAACCCCCAAGAAATGCGAAAGGATTTAAGTTAAAAACGAACTCGCGCATTTTTGTTTATTGTTTAGCGTTCGGTGCGAATTAAATTGTGTTTTCCACCCGAAGATTTGTTGACTTTTCCACGAAGCCGCTGCTGCAGTGTGAGTGTGTGCGTGAATGTCGGTGTCTGTGCACCAAGTGCATGTGTGTGCTGCAAACATATTTAGCATTTATTTAATAAAAAACAAGGAAAAGGAGAAATAATCTAAGCAAGTACAGCAGCGAAAAGAAAGGTAAGAATGTGTGTGTAATTAATTATTATTATTCTTCCTCTTGCCCTCCGTCTGCATCCGTCCCTTTCCCTCACACAGCCCACCGGGAAAGTGAGAAGGTGGTTCTTTGTGTGCTGAAAATCCTGTTCCTTTTAGCAGAAAGTGTTGGAAATCCTGTATCTTTCAGCAGGCGACGGTGTAGGGAAAATGTAAATTCCCTAGGAAAACCACATAGAAACCTCATTTCCCCCTTACTTTTTGTGTCACCCCCGTGTATTTTGAAACCAGAGACGGAAGAAATGTAAGGGGTAAATGAGGTTTAGTCTCTTCCGCTTGTATGGAGAAACCTCATGAAAATATCATATTTTCCACAGGAATGTTCCCGCTGGGAGCCTCTTCCGGATTTTGAATGCAGGCGGGAAAGAGAAGGAATTAGAGGTGGCTCACACACACACACGTATAGTTCTTTTAAGCCGCACGAATGCAATGCAATGGCGGAAGTGACAAGCCAAGATGCACTGCAATTAATCGCTGATTGTTTGTTTACAAATTCGTCAATTAACCGTAACTGCAACTCGGCCACTCCCCCTTTTGATTCGCCCCGTCAAGTTGTCATGCACAACAACAACTACAAATGCCCCAATCAAAAGAAAGGGGGAATAATGAAAGAAACGCAAATCAGCTGCGATTCTACACTGTGAGAATACAAAACAAATTATACTAAAGAAATTCTGAAACTAATTAGTTCGATAGGACAAAGACCAACGGAAAATATAATTTTTTTTTTACATTGACAATTTTATATTTATTAAAGCCATTTAATAATTTTAATTTTAGATGAGCTATACATTTACAGTATTTATATAATCTACTTTTTTTTTTGGTAAAATAGGTCAAAAAAATGTTGTTTACCAATATATGGAAAATGACAATATTATTAGGTTTTTATCTAATTTTATTTAGAACTCTTTGGATTAGTGTTCAGGAATGAACATTTTTCGTCAACCTACGTAAATTTTTTTGTAATTTCAATAGCTTCATCAATTTAATAATTCTTAAAAATCTTTTTTAATTACACTAAATCATTTTGTGCGAGTGCTTCTGGGTGTGTATGAGTGTCGCCCGGGTCTTCAGCCGGGGACTGTGTTGCATGTGGAATATGAACACGAAAATAGCATATTCAGAATGTTGAGCGCTGAACAAACACTCACGGGGTGTGCTCCTTACTCCTCACACCCCCTTTCCCCCGTCTTCACCCTGCCAGTAAAAGCAATAAAAATTAAAAGGCAAACAGCGATAAGCGGACTAAACCCCGCCTTGGGTGAAATACCCCATCCCTTCCTGGGGTCGCCACCCCTTCCACCAAGAACACATGGCAACCCTGAGGCATAACGGTATATGGGCTATGGGCAGACATAAAGTAAACCCAACAAATGCATACGCCAGCCGATAATTAATGCCAGGCCAGCGTAATTGATGCGTCTCCGGCACGAGAGAAAATCAATCGGGGAGTAGGTATAACCTGTTTTTCCCCCCAGAGTTGCCAGCTCCATTTTAAAAGCAATTTCCCGAAGGGTGCCGCCACCAGGTGGACCACAACCCCTGTAACCGGGAAATTCAATTTAGTCCAAGCTTTTTGCTTTCAGCTCCCTCATTTTAATTTTTTTATTACAAGGGAAAAATACTTTTAAAAAAATAATTTAATTTTCCCTTATAATTTAGAAAATTTTATAAAATTAATTTACTAGTTTTTTCGATTTGATAAAAAATACACTATAAGATCTTAAAATATTTATTTATTTAATAGCCCATCCATATGTTTTTCCCACTCTAATTTGACTTTGATTGGGGTTGCCAGGCGTCGAAAGCAGCTCCTTCTATAAATGGAAACCGGCTTGAAGGATGTCGCGTGTAATTGAAGTTGAGTGACATCGGGTTGTACCCCCCCGCTTATCGCCTCCAACGCCACATTGCCCCCCTAAGAACAACCCACATCTGAAAGCTTATCTTAACGCCCCCTTTGTTTTGCCTAGGCTTTGTTGTTTTCCCTGTGGCTGGCATTTCTCGAGTTTCGTTTCCTTGGAAGTTCCACGTCTGCGGTTTCCATTACCTCATATGGATCCAGATCCATTGTGCCCATTGCCCTTGTCTCAGGTCTCCGCAATGGTTTCATTGATTGAGCAACCCCTGTTGAGTGATGAGCACTCTCGACAATCCCAATCCCAAGACGAGATCACAAGTACTTTGCCGAGAGTCGGAGGTCAGAGTCGAGGCCCTAAGAAAGTGCTGCGTTAGCTTTATAGACTCCAACTGGTTTGGCAAGAGCTCTTGTCTTCTCTACTCTGCAGTTCAGTTCAAGCGAACAAAGAAAGAGCCGCAGAAAGAAACGGAAGCTGAGGCTGCCCCCAGACCGTTATTCGGTCAACGCGATGGAGAAAGAGCAAAGAGCTGGGTAAACAAACAAACATAAAATGCAAATATGTGTCCCACTGATAATTTCGCACAGAAAGTCGGTCAACGAACCGAAAAAAACGAGGAAGAGCGGTCAAACAATGGACACCCCAATGGGGAACCTAGGTGTTGTCCATTGCGATTTCGATTTCATAATGAAAAGTCAAAGCGACTGAATGGCAGTCGTCCATTGACAAGCTGCCCTAAATGGACACCGAACTAAACTGGCTTCCGGGCAAATATGGCGCCCAACGTGGGGCATTGGTTTCCCGCTTCCCCCACCATTCATCTAATTTCATAACCCTGTCCCGTGGGCGTCCGAGAATGACGCAACCATTTGTTTGTTTTTAATAATATTCTGATTGTGTTCTGTTTTCGCCAACCTGTTGATAACCCAAGCAAACACAGTGGTTCTCGTTTACCATTTTTTGCAATTGTTAAATGTAAAATGAAGAAAATTATAACGAAATATAAGTCACATTTTCACTCTAATGACACATTTTAAAAAAATTTTATAAAGTAGCGATAAGTTTTTTGCTTTAAAAAACACATTCCAATAGGCACTGCTTATTTTCGATTTCCTCACTACATTTCACTTTGTGTTTGCGCTAATGATTTACACACATTGATAATGAAACGAGGGAAGTAAGGTCGATGAGGAAACCAACCTATTGGCAGTCGATCACTTAAGCCACATTTATTTATTGCCCATTTGTGATTTCTTTGGGCCACCACATAAATTATGTCTTTGTCATTCTTTTCTAGTTAAGTGATAGATCTGGCATTAGTTTTGCTTTTAGAATCTAGATCCGCCTGTTTTACCCATCTGTCGCTCTCTTTCGCCTGACAACAGTCCGGAAACGTATTATTTATTTAGAACAGCATACAGAAATATCTATCCCTACTCTGAGATATTTTTACTTGCGACAATTGCGCTCCCTCCCACGCCAAAGAAAGAAAACGAAAGATCATGGTTTCCTACTAGAAATTCAGGAATCAAGCCAGTGGCTATGTCTCATTTCGTTATCGATCGAAGGCTTAACACCCCCGATATCTGGCTAAAAGCGGCCACTGACTCAAGGGAATTCGCCAGTTAGCGCCCCGTTCGATAATTACTAACAACTGCTTGGTAACTACGGGCATAAAGCTCTGTATCCGACTTCTTGGCCCTTTTTAATTCGCGCCGCTCAACAAAAGCGGTTTTAACCCAGTTCAGAAGAACAGTCAACGTCCGCGGAAAATAAAAATAAGGTTGAAAGGTAAAATAGCTGGAATAGTGCTTACAATTATGCACACACAGATACTTGGGGCCTCTGTGTATATTAGTCGAGAGCATTTAAGCCAATTACACGGCACATCAATCATTAGCAAAGACGATTTGTGCCACACGGCTTGGGGCAAGAGCACTGAAAGAAACGAGAGTTTCCAGATGGTCAAGGTATCTGACGAAGAATGTCGGAAAAATATCGATATTGTTTAAACTCTAATTACACTGCTTTAAAGCAAGCAGTATAGTTTATAATTTCATAACTTTCATATATGTTTATAAGTATATTTCCTATTCTTGCTTTCGAGATGGTTAAGGTATCTGTCGTAAAACGTCAGAAAAATATCGAAAATATCGGTAACATCGATATTTCTAAAGCTCTAGTTAGACTGCTTTAAAGGAAGCAGTTTATTTCATATATTCCTTACATTTCAAAGTATATTTCCCATTCGTGCTTTTCATAAATATTTTTAGAAACGTAAAGATAAGCCGAGCTTTCAATTTTAGGTTTTCAAGTATAAACATGAATTCCAGGAATTGATTATTTTTTGCCTAGTGCACAAATGTTTGTATTTGTGTATTTGTAATGCCCTCTCCACTAAACCTTATCTACAAGTTTGACAACAGTTATTCTGGGCTTTCCGATGGGTTGCGAGGCAAAGAAAGGTCTCAAAGACAAATTATTAGTCACCCAGCAGTCGACTTGGTTTGTTTGTCTGGGTTTGCAATACGTGGAAGTATGCACCATTCAATTCCGCGGGGCATATGGAAATGAGGGGCAGGCCTGCGTTGTTAGGTGGTAAGTGAGTGAGTGAAGTTGTGTGTTGTGTTGGATAAAAAATAACAACTAGGAAAATAAACAACTGCAGCGGAAGAGGAGCGAATAGCTTTTTTCATTGCTTATTATCCAGCCGTAAGTCGGTGCTCGCATAAACCTCGTTTCTCACCAGCTCTCGATTTTCAGTCAATCAGAGATCCATCCACATGAAAAGGAGCCGAGGAGGGCAGCCAAGAAGTTAACTGGAAACAAAACAAGCAGCCAGCATTAAAAGCAAACAGAAATCAACAAATACTCTTGCCAATTTATCGAATAAACAAGAAGCCGAGCCAGGAGGAGCTCCTACTTCTCCGCCGCAATCAGCGCCCTCCACACGTGATATACGTCGACTTTCTCGCCCCTCGATCCCTCGGTACCCGAATCATGGAGTTCATGGAGCTCGGTCATGTTTGAGCGCTTCCGACTGAGCAACCTGACCAGAACCTTTCGCCTGAGAGGAGGCGGCCCAGAACTGGCGCGCGACAAGAAGAACCCGCAACGGCAGCAATGCGTCACCGTCCTGTTCCTAGATGACATCACGCACACCTTTCGGATCGAGGTAAGCAGGGGTTTGTTTTACATAGTTACAACCCTCAAAACCTCATATTCCTAGCTCTTTAATTATAATTGATTTAATGCCTAGAATAACAGCATGTTTAAAGTGGGTATACTGTGCGTGAGGCGGCAGAGAGCAGGCATTGAGAAAATCTCTTTCCTCTGATATTCAAACCGCATTAGCTTAATTATACGATATGCGAATCGCAGTCAAAACAAAGAAAGTTTTCGAGGTTTAATCATCACTATTCATTTATTCACTTTTTATCTGCTCATTTTTTGGCTCAGCACTCGAAACTCACTTTCATCTCGACTAACATCTCCAGACACGCACTTGTCCGCATTGTTTTCCAATCTCCATCCGAGGTTTCACTTTCTTTCACCTCGATGATCGAGTAGTGTGTGCGGTTGAAAATTATAAATCTGTCTACCAAATTGCACCTAAATGGAAGTAGTTTAATCACTGTAATTGCACCAAACACAATAGGGGGAGAAATTCAAGCATAGATTGGCTTTTGAGGTTGCTTTTTATTTGACACCAGTTATTGTCAGTAGAAGTGTTGAGCAAATATTAATTAAAAGAATTAATTTCACTTGAGAAACAGTTCTTATCAAAAACCTACACTTTAGTAAGAAAATTCTATACAAGATAGAGGCCTTTAGTTGGCCTAGAAAATAAAGGGTTTTTCGGATTTTTTTTTATAAACAGCTTAGCTAATCATCATCCTTTCTTCTCCTTTAGAAACGTGCGAAAGGCTCTGAACTCTTGGATCAGGTCTTTCAATATCTCGAGCTATCCGAAAGGGACTACTTTGGCCTACTATTTCCACAGAAGCCGGGTGACGTTGTGGTAAGTCGTGGAGATTTCTTTCCATTTCTTTAGCTCATTTCTAATTTATCTACTTTTTTCCTTTCCACAGAGATGGGTGGATGCCCAGAAGCAGTTCAAGAAGCAATGCAGCAGCGTTTCCCTCGACAACGATGCCGTTCCATTATTAGAATTTAGGGTTAAGGTTAGTTAGATGCTTTCTATTTACTAAATGATAAATTAACATAACATCCTCCCTTCCTTCTTTCAGTTCTTTGTAAGCGATCCCAGCCGCCTGCAGGAGGAGTTCACTCGCTACCAGTTCTATCTGCAGATCAAGCGCCACATTTTGCTGGGCAAGCTGCCATGCTCCAGCAACACCCAGTGCCTGCTTGCCAGCTACACGGTGCAGTGTGAGTAGCGGATCTTTTTGAGATCATTTCAAAGTTATTAATCCAATCTTCCTCCATTTCACAGCCGAGTTGGGCGACTTCAATGCGCCGGAACACCAGCCGGGCTATTTGAGCGGCATGCAGCTGCTCTGCGATCAATCTACAGAGGCGGAGCGAAAGGTGGGAGAGCTGCACAAGCTGCACCGCGGCCAACTGCCTGCGGATGCGGAGTACAACTACCTGGAGCACGCCAAGCGGCTGGAGCTGTACGGCATTGACCTGCACAAGGCCACCGACTCAAATGGCAAGGAGCTGCAGCTGGGCGTTTCGGCGGTGGGACTGCTCGTCTTCCAGCACTCGCTGCGCGTGAACACCTTCTCGTGGAGCAAGATGGTCAAGGTGTCGTTCAAGCGCAAGGATTTCTTCATCCAGCTGCGTCGCGAGCCCAGCGAGAACTACGATACTTTGCTGGGCTTCGGAATGAGCAGCCACAAGCACGCCAAGGCGCTGTGGAAGTCGTGCGTGGAGCACCACAGCTTCTTCCGCCTGAAGAGGCCCCATCGCCTCTCGCGCTTCTTAAACATTAGTTTGGGAAGCAAGTTCTACTACTCGGGACGCACGGAGCTTCAGGCGGTTCAGGAGTCCAAGCAGCGCGGTCGCATTCACAAGGTCTTTGTGCGTTCGCCTAGTAAGAGATTCCTGGGAGGAGCAGCCGGTGGCGGAACTTCGGGCTCCTCGGGCGGAACTCCGATGCTGCAGCACAGCGGCTCCGAGAGCGCCACCTCCCACAATAATGGGAAGTTAGCCGCCGGAGGAGGAGGCACCATTCTGACCATCACCAAGACGAGCCGAGACAACAAGGTGACTTCCAAGGAGGCGGAATCCATGCCCCGAAAGGCCTGGGAGCAGCAGAGCGACGAGTACGACATCCAGCTGTAAGTGGGAAATGGGATTTATAATAGAGCCCTGCATAAATAGATTCAATTAATTATTTTGAATTATTTGTTTTATATGAATGAATTAATTAGAATTTTGAGTTTAATAGAATAGAATTAATTAGAATTTTGAGTTTAATAGAATTGAATGAATGAATGGCATGAATTCCGAAATAATTCAAAATAATTCATTCAACAAAAATTGAATGATCCACGCAGGGCTCTAATATATAATTTATATATTACATTATCTAATATTTAATTATATTACAGCGACGTGGGCTTCATCGAGCAGTGCACGCGGCGCTTCGAGTCCGCCTCACCTTCGCCCATGCCGCCCGCCTACAGCTCCGGCCAGCACAGTCCCCTCCTGCTGCCCACGACCATCGCGGATGCAGTGGGTCAGCAGCAGCAGCCGGAGAGCGGCAGCGACCTCATCACCATCCGTCTGCAGGCCGACGAGCAGGGACGCTACGGGTTCAATGTGAAGGGTGGCGTGGATCTGAGCCTGCCCGTTCAGGTTTCCAAGGTGGTTCCGCATACGCCCGCCGATCGCTGCACTCCGCGTGTTTGCGAGGGCGACGAGGTGCTCATGATTAATGGCAGGGATGTTCACGGACTGCGTCACGAACAGGTGGTGGCCATGATTCGCGATTGCCGTCACCAGGCCAGCGGTGAACTGCTGCTGACGGTGCGCCCCCAGCGCTGTGCTCCGCTGCTCCTAGAGGAGGAACCCCTGTACCAGTACGTTCCCGAGAGCGATGAGATCGGATCGCACTCCAATCTGCTCGACGGCGACGCTCTGTTCACCCAGAGCCTGCTGCTGCTCAGCGATGGCCTCGCCTCGGGCGCCCTGCTCGCCCAGTACGAGCTGATGTACAGGAAGAATCCGGATCTGGCCATCACAGAGGCTCGCAAGCCGGGAAATGCACCCAAGAACCGATATCGAGACATATCGCCATGTAAGTTTCAAGGGAAAAATCTAGGGTTGTTGAAAATATATCAAAATATCGATATTTTTGTATCAAATTAGGATGTTATATCGTGAAATTTCGAATATATGATTATATTGTCTTTGATATTTTTGCGTTGGTTACATTTTCATTCTAAATTTAAAAAAAAATATCGAAAACATCGAAAATATCGAAATATCGATAAAATATTTTTGTAATATTCGACCACCCTAGAAAATCTTAAATAATACTTTTAATCTAGGGTTGTTGATATTAAATCAAAATATCGGAATAAGATATCGATAAAATCGATATTTTTGTATTAAGCTAAGATGTATATGTCTTTGATATTTTTGCTTTAGTTACTTTTTAATTCTAAATTTAAAAAAAGTATCAAAAATATCGAAAATATCGAGATATCATCGATACAATATTTTTGTAATATTCGGCAACCCAAGAAAATCTTAAATTAATACTTTAAACTTAGAATAACCCCCTTTTTTCCCTTCAGATGACTGCACTCGGGTCTCTCTGGTCAACTCGCTAACGGGCGACTACATCAACGCCAACTATGTGAATATGGAGATTCCCGGCGGTGCGGTTAACCGGTATATTGCCACCCAGGGACCACTGGCCAGCACCACGACGGACTTTTGGCGCATGGTGCAGCAGGAGAGCAGCCACCTGCTGGTGATGCTCACGACGGTGATGGAGTCGGGTCGCCAGAAGTGCCACCAGTACTGGCCAGTGACTGGCGAGGAGCTTCAGCTGGCGGAGGGCTTTTCGGTGCGCTGCCTGAGCGAGAAACCAGACGAAACGGGCAGCTTCGTCTTCCGCGAGTTTGTGCTGAAGGACAAGCACGAGCAGCGGCACATCCACCACATGCAGTACCTGGCCTGGCCGGACCACTGTGTGCCCTCCGATCCGCAGCTCTTCCTGGAGTTTACGGAGCGAGTGCGCGCCGCCAGGAATCGCACGCTGCTGCAGGAGATTGAGGAGAGCCTGAAGCAGGTGCGACTGATGGACGCCGATGCGGATGCGGACGAGAACGGTGGCCTGATGAGGGAGCGCAAGTGCGCGGCCAGCAATGGAGCCACTCCGGAGGACGAGACGCCCGTCTCGACGAGCGTGCATCAGTGAGTTAATCAGATGGGAAGAAGATTACAAGATTATAATAACATATTTATTTATAGATGCATCAGTGCCGCCAATCCACCTGTGATCGTCCACTGCTCGGCGGGAATTGGACGCACTGGAGTGCTCATACTGATGGACACCGCTTTGGCTTTAATGGAGGCCCGCGAGCCGGTTTATCCCTTGGACATTGTGCGCACGATGCGCGATCAGCGTGCCTGTATGGTGCAGAATGTGGTGAGTATTGTTATGATTTTCTCTAAATAATTGACTCATTACCTATCTCTAATTTCCAGAGCCAGTACCGCTTTGTGTGCGAATGCATCTGCGCCGCCTACATGAAGATCTCGCGCAGCAGTGCCGCCATCAACGACGACGAGGATTAATCCCGCTACGCAATCTACAATCTTCCGCTTTACACGATTCGATTTGTTTCGAGTTTTTTCTTATTCTATACGAGAACCTACGTCTAAATCTATCTAATTGTTAGTACCCGTAGACATGTACGTTTAAAACTGATTGTATATCATTACTATTACAGACCCCCCATATATATTGTATTATCAACTCTCTGTTCGTAGGGTTTACCCCCAAATACACTCTTAATTATATACATTAATTAGCTCCCGTCAGTCGCCGAAAGTGCTAAGAGGAAACGAGGATTCTAAATTTACAAAGCCACCACGACGGAATGGTAAACGAAGTGAACCAACTACCTAATCGAACGTATACAAATACAAAGCGAAAGAGAAGCAAATGGCAATTTATTTACACCCATCCAATGCTACACAACACGAGAACAATACGATATGCAATACAGCAACCGAGAATAAAACGATCCTTATACATTGATACTGATACTGATACCGATGGACAACACGAGAAGATAAAACTGTTAGTATTTTAGCACCAAATCAATTCATTTACATAAATGTATTTATGCTGAACAAAAATCCAATAAAATGTGTAATTAAAAAATAAATGGTTTTTTATTTGTTACTTGGGTAAATATGTTTATTTTTGAATCTTCTATGGAGTTTTATCCATATTTCACTATAAACAAAATAAAGATTCGCTGAAATCTATAAAATCAGAAATTAAATATGTTTTATATAGAATTCTGAAAAAATCTTGAAAATCAAGAATTTTGGTCAGTTGGGCCGCCAATTTCCAGCAGTTCTAGAGATGATACATTTAAAAACTGTGAAACATCGGCAAAAAAATAGAATATCGATGTGTTCTTTAAAAAGAACCAAAGATATTTAAATATAAATCAAACGTTTTGAAATTTTTAAATTAAAAATCCTAAGAAATTATTCTTATAACAACCCATCATATCACCTTTTCTTTTTGACGTTTGACGCATGCGTGTGATTTCTAGGGCCATCTCTAGTTTTGCATTGGGTTATAGATTTCAGTCTCCAGTCGCGAGATGAGCTCCCCCGGATTCCTGAGCAACTTCCACATTCCGCACTTGGCGCCGGGTGCAGCTCCTCCAAGTGAGCCCATGGACCGGAGCCGCAATCAATCTCCGCCAGCGCCGGAAATCCCGACGGGCAATCGTCTGGTGGCGCCGGGAAAGCAAGTGGGAAACTCTGGTGATTCTCCAGCCATGAGACCTCCGTTGAAACGGAAGGCTGAGCGGATGGAGGAGGATCCATCTCCAGAGCTGGCCTTGTTTCCCGGACGCGACGAGAGTTATCCGGAGGAGCTGAACCGCCTGATAGGGCCACTCAATTGCGAACTGTGCAAGGTGCAGGTGACCTCGAGGAAGTGCGCCCGGGATCACTACGAATCGAAGGCCCACGACCGGCACATCAGCGCCTGGCTGGCCAAGAACTACACGGAGGCGGGTCTGGAGGCTCCCCAGGTGAAGCGGATGGCCAAGCAGGGACCCACCGGCCCGAATGCCTTCTACTGCGACCTCTGCGACCTGGATCTCACCTCCTCCATGCACGCCCGCCAGCATTATTTGGGCAGGAAGCACAAGCTGGTGGAGCAGCGCATCTCGAAGCCCTCGGGAGCGGGTCACTACGATGCAGCAGGGAAGTGGGTCCGCACGAGCAGCAAGTTCGAGGGAGAGGGTTCCAGTTCCAATCCCCCCGATGGTCGTCATGGTATAGGCAGTCTGTTCTTAAAAGCGGAGGAAGTAGTAGCTTCCAAGGAGATGGAGGTAGCTACCCAGGAGAGTCCAAACGACAAGGAGCAGCGCTCCTGCAGCCTGTGCAAAATAGTGGTCACCTCGGCTCCCCAGATGCAAATCCACTTGGCAGGAGCCAGGCATCAGAAGAATCTGAAAGCTGCTGCTGGTCAGGATCAGCCGGTGGCTTCGGGAGATACTGCCTCGCTTCCAGAGGCTCCTCCCCAGAAATTAGAGAAACTAGACGCCGCGGAACTGGCCCTTTATCGCACTCCAATTGGCCAGTACTACTGCCAGCCCTGCAACATGATGATGAACCATGTGACCACCTTGCAGCAGCACCTCATCGGCAAGAAGCATCAAAAGACGGCGAAAAACCTTCCACAGGCGGAGAAGACCGCTTAAGACAACCAGACGATTAATACTTATAGTCATAACTATAGTTAATCAATTAATAATTGTAATGAATAATTATGTAGAAAATGGAAGCAACATTTCATTTATAAATCTTACTTTTCTTGTACATTCATAATGTATAAAAAATTGAAATAATAAGTTGTAGTATTATAATATGAAAAATTCTTTGGACAATGGAAAACCATTTAATTTTAAAATCCTACTTTCTATTCGTAATACGAAATCTATGAAAAACAATGACTTAATTTCCAATTTGCAATATAATAAACATGACAAATATGTTACCAAAGTCAAAAACACTTGTTTTAATAACTGTAATAAATAATTCTGTAGAAAATGGAAACCTTATTTCATTTATAAATCTTACTTTTCTTGTACATTCATAATAAGCAATCTATGGAAAAAATTAATTGATATTCTAATTTTTGTATTACAAATTAAAATTATAATTTGTAGTATAATTATAATAATGAATGAAAAATTCTTTGGACAATGGAAAACACATTTCTATATATACATATGTCTTCATGCAAATTCTTAAGAATTCGCGGTCCGTCGAGGATAATATGTTCCCCAAGTCAAAACCACTTGTTTTCTTGTACATATTTATTTTATATTTCCATTAACATTTTCTGGATGAGCTTTGTAAACTAAAATTGGCTTAAATTATTTATTTTTCCCAGTCAAAACTGAAATCCTCACTCTTTTTAATTTACGTCAAGGGATAGATGTATGGGACTTCAACAGTTTAAATCAAATTCGACTTTAGAGTACACACAACTTACAAAAAAGAGGAAAAATTAGATTAAATTAGATTAGAATGGCCGATGAAATGGATGTTGAGGAGACGGAGGACTTTCACGATCTGGAGTTTAACGACGAGGAGCCATCGGGAAGTGGAGCAGCAGCAGCAGCAGCAGCAGCAGCAGCAGGAGGATCTAGTGCCGCCAAAGAGGAACGCTTCGTGGTGAAGAAGTGGGTGGCGCACGCCCTGTGGTCGTGGGACGTGGCGGTGGACAACTGCGCCATCTGCCGCAACCACATCATGAATCTGTGCATCGAGTGCCAGGCGGATCCGAATGCCAACCAGGATGAGTGCACGGTGGCCTGGGGCGAGTGCAACCACGCCTTCCACTACCACTGCATTGCGCGCTGGCTGAAGACGCGGCTCGTCTGCCCGCTGGACAACAAGGAGTGGGTCTACCAGAAGTACGGGCATTAGGAGGGGGCGATAATAGTTGTGTGTTCTAAGTGATTCTTAAAATTAAGCCTCCTGTTCGGCGGGGGGCAGCAGTTGCTGGGCCGTGGGCCTCACGCCGGTTATCAGCTCAATTTGCGAATAAATCGATTCCCGTTCCTCCACCAAACTGGCGTACTTTTGCTGCAGCTCCTTCTCGCGGTCCATCTGCCGGCGCACATCCTCCTGCAGGGATTCCAAACGACGCGGCACCGCAATGGCCTCCTGTTCACCCAAAAAGCGGAATGTGGACAGCGAAACGGAGTTCTGCTCAATCTGACCGTAGGTATCCTGCAGCTGCTTGATGAGCACCTGGGCGCGCGCCTGGTAGCCGCCGGTGAGGATCTTCAGCTTCTTCTCGATCTTGCCGCACCGCTTGGCCTCCTTGGCCATGTGCCGGCGATTCGTCTCCAGTCGCTTCTCCGCCGACTCCAGGCGATCCTTCTTGCTGGCCAAATTGGCGCGCGTGTAGCGATGCTGGGAGGGCAGGTAGAGCACCTGGCCCAGGCACTCCTGCCACACCTGGGCGTACACATCCAGCGGCAGCTCGCCGTGCGACATGCGCTCCTTGACCACCTCCATCTCCTCGTCGAGCATCTGCCGGGCGGTGGTTAGTTCCTGCTGCGAGATGTCCTCGTAGGGATTGGCCTTGAAGTAGCTCTGCAGCTGCTCCAGCTTGTGCTGCGACTGTCCCGGCACGGGATCCTTCACAGAGTCGTATACTGGGGGATAATATAAGATATATATTTGATATATTAAAGGTAATTTAAGAGGAATACCCACTCGAGCCCTGCGTGAAGCAATCAATTTTTGTTTTATCATAGTATGCCATGAAGTTTCTGATTTTTTAATTCAATTCTATGTGAAACAAATTGAAAGTTTTTACCATTTTTATTTTGAATTTGCCAGATTTTGAGAACAAAAAGTGGAAAACTGTTAACAAATCAATGTTAACTGCATAGTAAATAAAATTCAGGCACTTCATTCTTCAAAAGAAATTGTCGTTTGAATTATTTCAGAAGTCATGCCATTCATTCATTCAATTCTATTAAACTCAAAATTCAAATTCAAAATTATTAAATTCTATTGAACTTAAAATTCGAACTAATTAATTTATATAAAACAATAAATTCAAAATAATTCATTGAATCGATTCATGCAGGGCTAATATATATGATATAGTAAAGGTAATTTAAGAGGGATACCCACACTGCATTGTGATCATCTCGTGCTTGATCAGCTCCTCCGCCTGCTGCTGCTCCGTGAGGTTCTGTTTCTCTGACTGTGGCCTTAGAATCTTTGTGTTTACCTCTGTTGGCCTTGGCAGGCTGCGCTGGATGACCTGGGAGCGCTTCTCCAGCTCCCGCTTGCGTTTGGCCTCCTGTTCGGCTAGCAAACGAGCATCCACATCCGCCTGATCCTCGACAGCGGGCTCTGTGTTGGTTTCCATGGGCTCGCTGTCCTCTTGTTCAGGCACCACGATCTCGTAATCGTTGCGGGGAGCGGGCAGGGTGGAGAGACCCTCGCGGAGCGTGGACTTTAGTTGTTTCTGGTAGTTTTTATACAGAGCAGGGGTCTCAGTAACGCCCATGCTCTCCTCGGGATTAATGCTTAGTTTGTCTCGCACATAAGCGGGGGTATTTATAGCAGCTCCAGTTGCTCCCTTTACTGGAACTAAAGCCCCCGAAGAGGGCGTGAGGAATCCCCCGGGAGTGGCTGCTCCTCCGCCCTCTCGCTGCGTTCTAAACGGAGTGGCAATCACTGTATTTGGAGTAGCAATCGAAGCCGCTTTGGGTAAAACACCAGAGAAATCAGACTCGTGGAGCGGGGTGTTTAGACCTCCTTTTAGCGGAGTCTCTGTGTGGGTCAAGGCCATCATGTTCTGCGCCTCCTGCATAATTCGATCGGTGTAGGGAGCTGGGGTCCTCGGAGTGGCCGCCACCTGGGGAGTGATGGAATAGTCGGCCAACAAAGCATCCGTTGTCTCGATGCCACTTTCCCCCGCAATCTCCTTGGCCATCTCACTGGCTCGTCCCAGTTTAACCACCTGCTGCAGCTCCATGTCGGAGATTTGGGGCGTCGGGAGCACCAGCTTAGAGCGCTTCCTTTCCGGCTCCATGTTCTGCAGCATGGCGGTGGGCACCTCGTTCTCCTTGCGCTGCTTCAGCTTCTGCTTGTCGCGCTTCCTTTCGCGCTCCTCCTTCTCGGATCGCAGTTCTCCATCCAAATCCTGCTGGCGCATCTTATTAAAGTCCGGTTCCTGCTTCTGCAGATGCTCCTCGGCGGTGTCGTAGAATCCCAAGGCGGGTCGCTTCTCGAAGGGAATCTCTGCGTTGTAATCGATGCCCTTGATCCGCTTGCGATTTCCGCTTCCAATTCCAGCGGCTCGCAGTTCCCGGCGTTTTTGGAGGGTGGCCAGGCGACGGGCCTCCTCCAGCTGCTTCTCGCGCGCCTTGCGCTTGGCCTTCTTGCCCTGCGTGTTGGCCAAACGGGCACGGGCCTCGGACAGCATTTCCAGCTCGTCCTCGTCCATGTCTTTGGGGTCGGGACGCGCCGGCTTGGTCTCGGGATTGGGATCAATTTCGCCTGGTTTCAGCTTGCGCGGATCGTCCATGGTGTCCTCGCCATCCTCCTTGCGCTGTGCCTGATCGCTGGGGGGGATTAGGATAGGGATTAGGGGTTTCTTAAGGGGTTTTTGAGGGTTCTTAACTCACAGTAGGTACTCATATCGCTCCAGGCATTGCGCCGCCGTTCTCCCGATGATCGGGGCTATGGTGCGCCATTGTGTAGGCATCAGTTTGGCCAAATGGAGCAGCTTCTCGTCCTCCTCGCGGGACCACTCGGTTTTCTTGATGCTGGGATCCAGCCACTCGTACCACCTGGCCTTGCACTGCTTCGCGGATTTCCTGTGCAGCAAAGAGGCAATGCGACTCCACTGGTTCTTGCCGTACTTCATCACCGCCGCCTTGAGGATCTCATCCTGGAGGGGATTGGGATTGGAATCGGGGGAGAAAAACCGTGTCAGCCATGTGGTAAAGGGTTATCCGATAGGATTACTCACCTCCGTGTTGCGCCACACGCCGCCCTTGATCATTATTCGCGGCATTCTGTGGCTTTTGGTTTATATTTCTCTTTGGTTTTCAAGAATTTTCACAATTTTCACCGGAGTCACGAAATTTTGCCAACTTTTTTTAACAGTAGCCGCTAGTGATGGTCAATCTTTCGATTACCGCGATAACTTCAGCATGCAGAGGTATTTTTTATGGTATATTTTGTGTAATTTTTTTTTATTTATTTACCAGCTTTTTTTTTTAAATAATTAGAACAATTTAAAATAATATTGAACTATAATATTTTACTTTTTTTATATATGTGTAAGAATATAAATATTATTAAGTAGTTTTTCATATTTTACAATTTTTTTTGAAATAAATACAATAGTTAGTTCTTCTTCTTCCTACTTTTATTAAAATATATGTATAATTTATTTTATAATCAGATTTTTTTTTTATTTTGTTTTATTTTTATTTTGTTTTATAAATATTTTCAAGATTTGTTTATACAATTTTATTCAATTAATAAAACGTATAAATTAAATACAATAATTCTTCTTCTTCCTACTTTTATTAAAATATATGTTAAATTTATTTTATAAGCTGATTTTTTTTAGCTTCTATTTTTGTTTATAAATATTATTAAGCCCTCTTTACACGACATAACATCTCAGAAAAGTGTGACCGTAGTGAAGGTGCTGCCAACCTCTGCACAGCAACAGCTGATTTGCTATCAGTTTTTTTATAACCAAAAGTTTTTTGTCTGCGTAATGTAAATTGTAATGCGGAATTAGAAGGCCTGAGCCCAGAAAGCGGACCACCGGCAACCGGAATCCGGCACCTGGCGACCCCGGTGACCACCTGGAACCAGGAACCAGGAACCCACGATGAGCGATGCGGCCTACCCGGGATTCTACGGCAATGGCAATGGCAACCAGGTGAGCAACCAGCGCGAGTTCCTCTGGCCAGAAAAACACGCCGTGTGTCTTCCAGCTGCACTTGCTCCCGCTACCGCTGTCGCATCCCCCGCATCCTCACCAGGATCTGTCGCTCTCCACGCCGGTTCACTCCTTGGAGCAGGACTCCAACTTTGGTGGCTTCTTTGACGACGAACTGGTCATTGGAAATGGAAACGGAGGAGGAGCAGCCGGGGGAAATGGAACCTCCACCGCTGTGTGGCTGCCCGATGGCGCCGCACGATCCCCTGAAGCTCCGGACATTCCCTTTGTCCAGATCCACACCACCGATCTGCAGCAGCAGCCGGAGAGGAGCTACAGGAACGCCTTTCGCAGACGCACTGCGGAAATCAAATCGGAGGCGGAACTGATTAAATCCGAACTGGCGGAGGCGGCGGCCAAGGAGCGTCTGAATGCCACGCCCACGCCGCCCACAAGGAATTCTAGTTGCGCCAGTGTGGAGGGCAAGGCACTGGTCCACCAGGATAACCAAAGTCCTCCTTCTCCTCTCATCCTGCGCTGCCCAAACTGTCCGTTTTTGAGCCTCTGCCAGGTGCGCCTCCAGCAGCATCTTCAACTGGGCAACTGCTACATGGAACAGCAGAGAAGGCAGTGTCCAGGTGAGATTACCAAGGGGATGGGCTATGCTTGGGGGTATTATTACTTCAAGAATGCCCCAAAAAAATCAGGGAAAGTGGGGATTACTTAGATAAACTACGATATATCCTATAAATTTATTTCAAGTCTGTTTTAAACCAATTAGGAAACGGATTTTCATAGGATGATGTTTATACCATCTACTAGAAATTCTAGAAATTGGGATTTTGTATTTAAAATACAATTTGTTATTGATCAACTACTTTACTTCTGATATGATATGAAATAATACAAGTTTTACTGAAATGTCGTATCAATTTAAACTTAAGCATCACTTTAACTTTAAAGAATTGAAAAAAAAACATTTAATTTCGAGAGTATTGGGATCTCAAAAAGAGATTAATCGAAAAATGAAAATTTCCATATTTATTTTAAATTATTTAATAGTTATTGTGAAAAATCTACCTGTGGATATTAAGTTTATATTGAAACTTGTCTGATTTAGCCAAATACTTGTTAATTGGCAACTTCTTTTCTTCTTAATTTTAACCAAAGCCAATATAAGAATTAGCCTAAAATGGCATGTGTGTATTTTACCAGAAATAATATTCGAAATCGTGATAATTAAACTCAAAAACTCTCAAAAACTCTCAAGGCAACTTCGGTGTCATCCGTAGTAATCTCCCCCGCAAACCACCAGCAAACCTTACTCACCAACTCTTTGACAGGCTGCACGAACATCTTCTACAGCAGCGAATCGCTGAGCGTCCATCTCAGCCTGGACCACCAGATGGAGGACAGTGAGGCAATGGCTCTGGCGAGTGGAAAGCACACCAAAAAGCAGACTCAGATGCCAAATCGACCCAAGAGCAGGATTTTCATCAAGAGCGTGGACTGTTTAAGGGAACCTCTTCCAGATTTCCCGCCTTTGATGCCCGATAGCTGTGGATCCACGGGCAACATCCTGGATCTCCTCGAATGTGGAGTAGCGGTGGGTGCATCGCCCAGTGAACAAACTATGCCTCCAGCTCCTGCTGCTAATAATGTATCCACCGCCCCTCCGCCACCGCCAAAACCCAGCCAGAAGATTTCCATCAAGAGCGTCGATGTGCTGAGGGAGCCAGCTCTCCTGCCCTTTGACTTTCAGCTGCCCAATCATCCGCTAATCACGGATAACAGTTTACTAGATGTGCCTGCTCCCGTCGTGGAACCGGAGAAACCGCGCCAGCCGAAGATTTACATACGCAATGTGGACATCCTCAAGGAACCGATGGTTCTGCCTGGTTTGGGTTTCAATGGCAACCTCCCCGCGGTTGTGGATCACGGACAAATTGGACTAGCTGTGGGAGGAGGAGGAGGATCAGTAGGAGGAGATGGTGACGTTTACCAGACCGAGGCGCTGCTTACTCCTCCCTGTCCGCTGCCTGGATTCGAGCCCAGCCTGGCTCCTCTGGCTCAGATGTGCAGCGAAGCCTTTCCCTTCGATTCCGTGCTAAATGGAGGAGGAGCAGGAGGTGGAGCTGTAGTCTCCAGCCTGGAAAACACACGCTTCAGTGCCTTGGATTTGGATTTCGGGGTGGATTTCGAGGCCACTCCGCCTCCGCCACTCCTTCCTCCTCTCAATGATCACTCCCTAAACACAATGGCAGCTCAGCCTGTCCAGCTGGAGCACTATCTTCCACCCCCTGCTGCTCCCACCACCAAGCAGAAGATCTTCATCAAAAACGTAGATATCTTAAAGGCCCCTCAGCGAGGCACTTTGCATCTGCGAACCGTGGACGAACTAAACCTGATGAATCGCACCGAAGTGGAGCACTTGATTGTGCCCAATCTGGAACCGATGGCCATGACCATGATGGAACTTCCGCCTGTAGAGCAGGCGCCATTAGAGCTGGATTCCCAGCAAACTCTGAGCGAGTTTCAACCTTCGATCAATGGTAGTTGGCCTAGCGAGGATGGTTATGACCTCGCCGAGGATCTGGAGTGCTGGCCATGGATGGATGAGGCTGTGCCGGAAGCGGGAATCGGACTGGAAGCTCCGCCACTCGAGGGTTTGGCCAACGCTGCCGAGGATCTGCTGGTTGCGCAGTCGTTTTCCTCGACTACAGAGGAGGTTCAAGAAGAAGCAGTTCCACCTTTAGTGCCTGTAACTTCCTCTGGCGGCACAACAACATCCCTGACTCAAAGTAGCTTGCCTGTTCCGCCGCTGGTTCCCTTGGCAGCCGAGGCAACTCCTGCTCCTACTGCCTCGGAAAAACCTGCCCGGATTTATGTAGCCAATAATCTCCTACCCACTGCTGTGGTGGATCCACCTCTCTTAGGAGGTGGAACCTCCGTTCGCGGGCGTCCCTATGGAGCGAAACACTCCGGCGGAACGGCAACGAGCAAGAGAAAGCCACCACAAGGACCCAATCAAGTGCCAGAGGGCGGCAAGTGTCTCGTGGAGGGCTGCATGTTCCGCTTCAAGTCGCCGGCCACTTTGGAGTACCACGGCAGGTGCCACAATGGAGCACTCAGCTCCAGCCAACCCATGGTTTGTCCCGAGTGCAAGTCCAGCAACTTTAGCAACTGGAACTGCCTGCACACGCACCTCTGGCGCACCCACCAAATCGACATGGAGCTGTACTCCTGCCAGCTGTGCAGCTTCAAGACGCCCATCTACTCGAGGTTGGTCAACACGCATGCCAAGATTCACTCGGAGGAGCGCAACTACAAGTGCGAGCAGTGCGGCAAGGGATTCAAGAACACCAAGCAGCTGAAGAACCACAGGCGACTGCATCGCACGCAGGGATTGGGAATGGGAAAGCCGCCTAGTGAACCGGAAGTTAATCCAATGCATCGCTGCGAGGATTGCGGGGCGGCCTTCAAGCAGAAGAAAACGCTGAGGGAGCATCTGTGCAAGGAGCGCAACGAGCAGCTCGAGTGTCCCGAGTGCCAGCGCGTCTTTGGCTCCAAGAGCAGCCTGCGTCTCCACCTGCGGAGCCACCAGGAGCAGAAGCGCTTCCGCTGCGACACCTGCGACCACGAGGCCAGCGATCACAACGCCTTTCGGCGGCACTTGGCGACGCACAAGGAGCGGAAGCGGTACTCCTGTCCGCACTGCGACTTTCGGGCCATCCAGAGCAACGCTTTTCGGGTTGGAAAAATACCTTATTATATGTTAAAATTTATCATTAATATATTTTCGATATAGATACACCTGGAGAAGCGCCATCCCGAGCAGGAGCTGTCCGCCATCATCTACAAGTGCGACCAGTGCAGCTTCACCAGCATCAATCAAGGTCTGCTGCAGGTTCACCAGGCCAAGCACGAAACCCCATCGCCAGCGAATCAAGCGAATCAATCACAGATCAAGGTGGAGAGCAGTCTGGTGCTCGCCCATTCCAGTACAAACGTGGCCAAGGAGGTGATCCTGGGGCAGGCTTCCTAGGATCGCAATGATCCTTTTGTACATATATTCTAGGAATAAGATTGTGCGAGAACAAAGTGCCGCGTAGTTTGTAACGTTTTTATACCAAAATTGTACCAATGTTGTTAGTGTTTAGGATGCAGATGAGTTCACTTCAAAGAAGGAAATTTAATTGTGTGGTAAAATCGCCTTTAAAATCAGGTCCTTTCTACTTTGAAGTGAAGCTCTGGACTTCGGACTCCACCGAAGCTATTTTCTTTGACTTTGTTTGTCCCTTTTCTTTGTAAATGTTTACCCTAGAATCCTAAGAATTTGTTCTTGTACATACGTATGTGTATATAAAGGTTAATTGGGAAAGGCTTTATTAAATAGAAAACTTCAGTTTCATTCCCCTAGTGTATATAGCCAGCTCCGAACAGAAATACATTTACAAATCTCAAACAAAATCCTCTTTGAAACTATGGAATATTTGAGAAATGATAATGCAAATGAGCGAAGGACATGATTTCGGGAAATTACAATATAACGAGATTTAGGATTACAAAAACAGTATTTTTTATTTAATTCTAAGATAGATTTTTTTAAATGGTCAATTCAAAATTTGTCTAGAATTGAATGTTCTCATATGTTCTCGTCTTAATCCGATATCTGGTTATATAATATTTTAAATATCTGCTAGATCGTCGTAATATTTTTTTTACAAATAATATTGTAATAGTTAAATTCATTCACTAGTTCGCCACGGCCTGCGAACGCTGGAGACGGTCGTGGTGATGTCCTCGGTCATCAGATGGTAGATGACGCTCCAGTGGAGCATCTGTTCCAGGGCCAAGCTGAAAATGGCACAGTAGGCGATCAAAGCGAAGATCAAGATTTTCGGGTTGTCACCACTCGACACGTGGAAGATCGCCGTCAGCTGGAGGTTCATATTGCTCCAGAACTTGATGCAGCACACCAGGATCCAGGGCAGCATTGCCAGGAAGAACTTCTTGGGATGCTTCGTTAGCCAGTGCGACGGGATCATCATGTAGGGTAACATCGCCAAGGCGGTGAGCCCCAGGGACACGAAAGCGGTGAACACGACGTCCGGGTAGAAGAAACTTGCTGTGGGCAATTTATTGTCCCACAGGTGCGTCTGTAGAGTAACTAATGGAGCCACCATAATCGTCGTAAGAAGGGCAGTTGCGTAAATCAATTGGTACACGTTATCGCGACCCATTTGGTAAAGGTTTTTCCACTTAATTTTGGAAAAAAATATAATAATTGTGTACAAATTAAAGACCGAATTTAACGGAATTTAGTAGTTATTCGATTTGGTATGAAGTTGTTTTTAAGATGAATTTATAGACTACTTTGATATAAAGTAGAAAACGTCTGGGTAATTTAAATATTAATGGAAAAGGGAAATAGAAAGTCAAATGTTATAACAAATTATATTAAAATTCTCTATTTCATTTTGTAGATTTTTGCGTTCCTCAGATTTTTTGGGAACCCATTTTCTACCATTCCTATTAACTCAACAACATCCCCGAAAAATCCCAATTAAAACCACTTTGAACTATCATATTCAATATTTTAAGCCTTTAATGGGAGAAACTTTCTTTGCGTTTATACAAAATTTAATTACACTTTTTGTTTTTTGTTGCCTTTTTTATTTTTTATTTGTAACTAGATTTTATTAGATTTTTTTATTAAATATACAATAGGGAGGAAACGGAAGTAGACGAACGTTAGAGGAGCTCTTAGAGGTAATAATCGAGTCGAATTGCTGGGGATCGAATCGAAATGAATATCCTAGAGCGAGTGTCGTTTAAAGGTAATCCTAAGTCTACAGGAGGAAGCATTTGATATGTTGTAAAAATGTTTAAATATATCAATATATTAATGTATACATATCATATTGAGCTTATCTTATGTATATGCGTGTTATGTGTGGTAAAATTACAATTGATTTAAATAATTAATAACAATTGGTTGGGAAATGGGTTTAGATCAAGCCGTAATTCCGTTTTTTTGATTCGCTCTCCTTATAGCGGTTGTTCGGTTTCCTATTCCTTGGCACTCTATGCAAGTCTTACTATGTATCATTAACATTAATTACGATTAGCCTTACTAGTTGTTAGTTTTTCATAGTTTTGTTTTTTTAAATCAATTGCGTCTTGAGTATTTTTGCCTATAATTTCATTGGGTCTCAGTGTGTTCGAGTGTGTGGGTTTCATAATTTACAGACTTAAGAATTATTTAACAACATTGAATGTTTCTTTAACGCTTTTAGTTTGGCCTAACTCTAGTCTAACTCTTAAGGATTGCGTTCGGGGAGGGCTTTTTCAAGGATCTGAAGGATTCTTAATACAAGTGAAATTATGAAGATTAATTTAACCGATTTCTCAATGTCAGGTTAAGGTTGTAGTTAAATATCGGCTAGAGAAAGTTAACAAATTCGTTTTCTCAATGTGATGTTATGTTACGAGCGCCATATTTAACTAGAACTTAACCGGACATTGAGAAACCGGCTCTTAGACCCCCTTTAGCACCTCCCCTCTATCCCGGATTCCCCTTCCTGGCGCTGAAGAACATCCTGGCTACCTTGCCCAGCGCCCCCACGAAGTCCCATCGCTCCCCAGCCGCCGCCTGGTTGCCCCCGGATCCCGCAGCTGCATCCTGGTGATGGTAGTGGTGGTATTGATCCTGATGACAGGACTGCGGAACCTGATCGTCTGTCACCTAGGAGGGCGTGGAGTACCAGCCGCTGGCCGGGCTGCCCTTGTGGTACAGATGAAAGCTCGAGTGCGGAGCAAAGTACTGCGGCTGGTCGAGATTGCTGTAGGTCACCCCACCCTCGGTGGTTGTGCTGCCCGAGGGATGCATGGTGGCCGTGTAGGAGGCCTGCGGTTTCAGCGGCAGCGTGGCGGGCACAACGTCTCCCGAGGATGTGCTCACATACTGACCACGCAGGGGATCGGGTGCGTAGTCGGCATAGCCACCGTTGGAGGTCAGGACAGGAGCAGCCTTGCCCGGCTGATTGGAATCCCGGGGGGAGACCGAACTGGGCGGGGTCATGGCGTTGTGGTAATCGATGGATGAGTGATAGCCACCGTAGGTGGACACGAGATTGGTGAAGGCATCGGCGGAGGTCTTCTGGCCACCGGGATGAACTCCGACGCCTCCTCCTCCGCCGGCGGAGGCCGAGTGCAGCTGCAGGTATTGATTCTCGTAGGAGGACTCACTGCCCGGCGGCGTGGGCAGCGGACCCGTCTGCTGGTGGTCGCCGTAGAAGACTCCTCCCGTGGGCGTTTGCCTGGCCGTCGCCCGGATGACGCTCTCCCGGTTGGCGTACAGCTGCCGGAGCAGAGCGGTGGCCGGCATGGGCGCCGGCGGAGGCTGTTGGTAGGGTCCTCCTATCCACTGGATGGTGCTGCTCTTCTCGTTGGGATCCAGCTGCTGCTGCTGCTGCTTCATCAGGGAGTCGGCACTGAAGTCGGTGTTCGGAGGAGCCACCACTGCCGCCGGCGAGGGCAAATGCTTGGACATGGCCTGCTCCAGATCCTTGACCGCCGAATCCGCCGGCTGCTGCTGCTGTTCGTCCACAATCGAGGGCAAGCGACTGCGGGGCTGCGACTGATCCCGCTGCTCCATGGCTGGTAGTTTGGGAAGAGGCTGCTCGGGAATCACCTGCTGCTGATCCTGATCCTCGGCCTGCTGGGCAGCCTTTGTTTTCCTCTTCCTCTTGGTGGATGCAGCTCCACTCGAAGAGGAATTACTGATGCCTGGCGTGGCTGCTGGCACTGGAGTGGCCACTGTGGTGGGCAGCACCCCGCCCGAATCACCACCGATATCCACGCCCAGCGGCGTCGGACTGTCCTTGATCATGGTGAGGCTATTCAGGCTGCTGCCGTGCGAGGCGGCTGCACTGCGCCCGCGGCCGCGATGCGAATGATTCTCGGGATCGGTGGTTTTCGGTGAGTTGAGCTTCATGTCCCCGGCACTCAGATTGCCCTCGTTGCCATTGCCATCTCCTCCAGGCGACCCACTGCTCTTGTCGTTGCCCAGACCCTCCTCGTGCTTTATGCTATCTGGACTGGGCTCCAGTTGGCAGCAGTCCAGGATCATGTTCTCGTTCTCCCGGTTGCTAAGGAAATAGTATTCTTAGTTATTGGAATGCACTCTAGGTTTCCTTATTATATAGACAACCCACCTGATCACATAGTTGACGCAAATGATGTTCTGCTCATCCGCGTTCTTGGTGCTGCAGACGACGGTGGCGCAGGTCTGGAGCCACGTGTAGCCACCGCTCTTGTTCATCAGTCGGTAGTAGCCGGTCAGCACCTGACCCTTCTCGATCACTAAAAGGGAAAGGATTCGAAAGATCTTTATTAGAAGTTCTGAAGAAGTCCTAGATATTTTTAAAATAGTTCATAAAGTCAAATAAAACATATCGATATTTTCGATATATTTTTAACATGGTTGTTTATCGTAAATATCGATGTTTTTCTAACGTTTATTATAAACATTATTGTAAAAATATTTTTTGATTTTATTTATTATCCCTTAAAAATATTGAAAATATCGATACGTTATTGTAAAAAAATTTTTAAGCTCGTATTTCAACATTCGTAAGCTATGATATATTAGGGTTTTCAATTTCAATCCTTTAAATATTTATAATCTTTAAAAAATATTAAACTATAACTATCATTTAATTTTTAAAGGTTTTTCTTGTATCTATTATAATAATTTTCTTATCTTTTTTTTTACAGATGATTAATGGATGACTGAAATACTTACAATCTGAATGGCTCTTGCGCAGGCGATTGGCATCTTCGGCGTGACACAGTGAGTACAAGCTCTTGTTTACCAGATCCTCGGGCGAATAGTCAAGCAGATCGGATACCCTACATTTCAAGAAGCATTTTATTAATAGAGAAACACACACAAAAACAGTAGTATAGCATACCTTGGTTCGCAGTGGGCCACACGCAGGTCAAAGTTCACCCGGGTCACGAACATGTCGCACTCCAGCCGAATCTCATGCACCGAAGGGGGAGGCAATGCGATGGCCAGGGCCACCATTCCTAAAAGCGGGGGCTGCGACTTGCGACTGTGGGAGAAGGTGTACTGGGGACGCAGCTTACACAGCAGCAGAACCACCTGCAAAGGATCCAAAGTGAAGCCTGGTTAGTTGGGGTCCTACTTATGAAGGAGGTACTCTTCATTCAAGTAATTAAAAACTCTATATTTCGGTGATGGATAAAGAAAATCTTGGACTTGGAACTTTTTACACTTTACTAAAGGTATTTCTTGATTTTGGAATTTATATCCACTTTTTTATTTGGATTTCAAATATTTATAAAGGATTAGGTTGAAAATCAGGAAAGGCTTTATTTGGTTTCATAAAAATACCTCGAGACTGGAATATTTTTTAATATCTTGAAATACCTTTAAAATCACTTTTAAAATAAATTGATGGGATATAAAATTAAAGAATGTTGTAGAGCATGTGATGATTGCGGCGATGATTGATTGATCGGTGGATGATTGAAGCAGCTTCCGCACTAGATATTCGATACTGATCAATCTAAAATCAGTCAGTGGCTTTGCCTTTGTTTTTTTCTTTGTTTTTTTTTTAGCAAACACAAAAATTATGGCCGAAATAGTAGAAAAACTTAAAAAGCGAATTCTTCAGTAAATAATTTTGAGTAGGTTTTTGGATTTTGCCTTGCATTTGTTTTTTTGTAGCATACAAACGTACTGATTTCAATTGATACGTACCGAATAGTTTGAGCCCGGATTCTTAACGTTTTTAGCATTGTTACTAGCATTGTTACCGTTGTTGCAATTGCTCGTTGCATCGCTGGCCTGTAGATAAGCAGTGGATGGGATGGTAATACGTAATACAAAATGCAGGTATTTTTGCTAGTTTACACAACACAACCGAAAACGATTTCTAGTGGGGTTAGTCTTACGGTTACTCGAAAGTCTTACATTAGAAACAACTCCTAGGGCCAACGAAAAAAGTAAAATAAAACGTAAATAAAAATATAACAAACACAATCCCCAAAAAACTATTCAGTTAGAAAAATGACTACAAAAAATCATACAAAACTTAGGAAAAATAAAAATAAGGATAGTTTCTTTGGTGAATAGCAAGAAAGAAGGTTTTAAAAACTCACCCGATAGCCTGAAGACTTGAAGTGACAGCCGCGTTTGGTCAAAGTGGACTTCATCCGGATGCAGAAGCTCCGATCGTAGCCCTTGTAGCCAGCGGTAGAAGCTTGGGTCATGGAGGCGGCAACTATGGGTTGAGAAATAGTATTAAATTAGTTTGGGTATTTCTTAAATGTACACAGAGAAAAAAAAATACCAAAAATGGTCATCATTCGGGTATTTTTTCATATCAATTTTGGTCCCATATGTGGTCATACCAAAAGTATATTTTCGAACATACCAAATTGGTATTTTCGAACATATGAATGTGGTATTTTTCATAATAGATTGTTATGCGCACATATCAAATTTTGCTACAAAATTTTGTATTGTATTTTCTCTAACTCAGAAAAGCATTCTGCCACGAAAAAAAAATGTGGGCATGGCTCAGAGGCCAAGGTGCTAGGTCCTGATATTATTTTGTGCTCGGGGGAACGGGGTTCAAATCCCGCTCACAACACAACACAACTTTTTTTTTTTATTAGTAATCTTATCATATTAACTTTTTACCACAATTTTGTTCTTAATATTGTTAAGGAAATGTTAATTATGCGCCTTAAAAACTTTTTACTTTCTCTGCCTTAGCCGGTTTTGAACCGGGGTCCTCTCGCATCAGAGTCGGATGCGTTACCTATTGGGCCATCGCGACAAGTTACACGCGAGTATATTAGCTAAACTTGAATGTAAAATTATCTCGTTTAAGCATGCTCAACTTGTAAGTGTGACCACAGCATATAAAGCGTTATAATACCATTGTATACCAGAAATACAACAAAAATACAACTTTACAGCCATACTATTTTTTCGAAGACTTTTCGATGCCCCATTTGATATGAAAAACATATCAATCTTTGAAGTATTCATATTAATATGTTACGGATTCATATCAACATGGGTAATTGTTATGATTTCGTATCATATTGGTATGAATTCATATTACATTTATATGGAAAAATTGATATGTACAAATTGAGGAGACAATATCAATCTGGTATTGTTCCGTTTTTTTCTCTGTGTAGGGAAATTTTCTTTTAAGCGGACATGAAGATTTTCATAGTATGTCAGGGAAATCTATTATGTCTTTAGTAACACTTAAAGAATCTTTGGATCAGAAATAGCAAAGGCCTTGTCTAAAAATATGCAGTAAACAATTTTGTTGCATACTTTCAGACACCTTTAATAATTATTTCAAAATTCTAGTGATTTCTCTGACACGTAAACTAGAAAATGATTATTTTAACATCCATTTGGATCCCACCCGGCACCAGGGATTCATTCCCACACCTGGTCCTTCGGCAACTCGGACTTGACTCACCGTCGGGATTGTTCGTACCATGTGTGCCGCTGCCATCGTCGGAGGCTCCGGAAGTGGGTGAGGCCATGCCCACTCCCGCTCCGCCGCCTCCACCGCCGCTGCTGGAACTTCCGGCTCCACCGCCTCCTCCTCCGCCGCCGCCGCTCGTGAGGCTCAGGCCCAGCTGCTCGGCGATCTCCGAGTGATCCGCCTGGTGGATGTAGTCGAAGATGCTGCTGCCGGTCATCTCGACCTGCGACAGGCCCAAGTAGATGGACACCGTCTCGGAAATGTACAGGAAGCGACCGTCTGCCGCCACAGCCAAGGCAAAACCATCTAAGGACTAAAGATTAAAAAGGAAAAATATTTAGATTATTTATTTGGATTGTTATGAATAGTAATTAGGAGGAGTTTAGGAGAACTATCTATTCAGAAAACGGATAGGTATAGTTTTTTAAATTTGATATTTTTATGATCTTAGGATCTTGTGAAAAAATACAAAGAAAGGTTTATAAAATGAGAAAGTAGGCAATTGGTCATTGGAAATGCCATGTTTTTGACTGTGTAATTTTAATCATATGCACAAGATGGCTGCGGGCCTATCCCCCTCTCTCTTTTTTCGGGCCTATTGCCGTCCCTTTCCCTACCATATCGAGCATATCTCACCTGTAATATGTGGGTGCCCTGATGTTGTTCAAACAAATCAACAGCGGGACTGCGACGAATGGCGGCACCTGCGGATAAAAAAGAGGGGAAAGTTGAATGTTAGTGGTGGGAAAGAAAGTACTACATATATTTTAATTTATTTATATTACTAAACCTATTGTTAAAACCGGGTTTTACTAACTAAATGATAAGGACAAGCTTTTAATAAAAACCAATGAATAAAAATATTATTTTCCCAAAGAGTTTCGCATGTGTTTCGGAACCCCCTGAATTTCTCTTCTACTCTTGACCCAACTCATAAATGAAAGACAACAACAACAGCCGCAGGGCATCATAAATATGGTTTCTCGAAGCATTCAATATTTTCTCAGCTGAGGCACAAGGGCCTCGGATTATTTATTTAATTCAATTATAGAATTTTACGATTATGGACGACTGACCGACCCACCGACCAACCAACCGACCGGCCAAGTCATAATTCGCACAAGTGCAAATCGCCCCTTATTTTTCTGCCCCTCAAATCCCCAGCGATTTCCCAGTGGTCGAAGCGCTAAGTTGGCAAACAGTTTCCGCTTCCGCTTGGAGATGGCCATATGTGGCCGTGGCCCTTAATGACCTTCCACCCACCCAAGGAGAGCACCACCCAATGCTCTTTTTTTTCGTATTCGTATTTCATGCGGCTGTGGGTCAAATTGAAGTGCTTTTTATTGCCCCGCAGCTTGTTGCTCCTCATCCTCCACTCATATAGCTACTTCTCCGGTTTCTCTACTACTTTTTCTGGGTTTAGTTTCGCATAATAATCCAATTGAATGGATGAAGGCGTTACGGCCACTCCAGCGATTCCATTCCACCGCCTTCCATACATAACGCCCCATTGATTTTGGATTATTTTTTAGTGCCTTGACTACCTTTTTGGCTTTTTGATGGCCCTCGTCTTTTGGCTCTGCCACTTCGCTTGGCGCACAGAGAAAAATATTATTCAATGGGGGATTTTATTTATTTTTCTACATATTTTATTGGATTTGTATTAGTTGGGTATGTGTCAAATAAAATGGTGGTAACTTGCATACTGCGCGTGGGGCGGCAGAGATTGGGCAGAGCGGTCTGCTATGCTTGAAATTTTAATTCATGGAATTTTAAATAATTAATTAACAAATTCTACTTAATTTTTCTAAGACCTAAAAATACTTCTAAATATTTCTCTGAGTGCTCTCGACCGTTGCCAGTTGGCAGCTTTTGAATACCGTCTGAACTGAGACCTGGCAAAGAAGTCGTGGGCTGTCGTCGTGGAATGCCTTTTTCACTTGACGTGACAATGCATTGTCAACGTCGCCGGAGCATGACGTGGCTGGCTGAGGAATGGCTTGTTGTGTATGGCTGGGTATGGATGGATAAAGCCCGGTACTATATATATAGTGGCTGACAATAACTCTGTTGCTGTGTTGGGAAATTCACCCCACGACTATATCTGTTCATTGCTTTCAATGTTAAATTTTAAAGTCGACAAACTAGGCAACTTTAAAGGGCGTTCGATAAGAGACTTGTGAAATTAGATAAGTTATAAAAGAAGGGTTTTATCTTTAGTTTTTAAAAATCTCCTAAACTTTGGTCACTTTCAGTATCCAAGTGTGACCGTAGCGCAGATAAATTTCCATTTGCTCATTTGCATTTGACGCAAGACTTCGGCCATATTGTCGGCCATTTTCGATCGTTATTGGCCAGAAAGAGACGGAGGAAGCGGCAATTAAAACCGAAAGCAGGAAACTCATTTGCCTACATTTCGTGCCTTAAGTGAAATCAAAACTTTTGCCGGGCCTGTCTATGACAGAAATTATGCTTGAACGCACCTTAAAAATGTTTGTCTTTCCAAGCTCGAACACAAAATCAAAAAAAGAAAAAAACAATTTATTCGTTGACTTTGTCAACTGTTTTTTGAAATTTTTGTTTTGGGCTTTTGTCGGATTTGCATAAAATATCGTTATTAAGCGCAATTTATTTTTATTTGCTGCGCATGCGCGACCATTTTGGTATCCGCTTTTGGCGGGCAAAGGCGAGGGGCAACCGGCGTGTGTCATTTTGTGACAGTTTGTGGAATTTCAGAAGGCCCCATTAAAGTGATCGATTGGCTTCCAATGGTTTCGATATGGAAAACACTGTTTACTGTTCTTGAAAATATGTTGAATCATTGGTTAACTTATGGAATATACATAAATGAGGCTTTGTAATGTTTATCTATCTCTTTCTATATTTTTTATAAAAACTTATCAAAATAAATATAAATTTTTTCGATACATCGATGTTTATAAAATCACTAAATAATTCGAAAATATTTATAGTTATAAGCCCTATTTTAAGTGAAGGAATATTTTTTAAAAGTTTAATATTTAAGGTTGTATTCCAGGGTTTAAAATACTCACTTTTGAGCTTACTGCTGCTGGAGGCCTCCCTCGTCCATGGCGGATCGCCGTGTCCGGAGAAGTCCCTCAGCTTCAGGTAGCTGATGGTCAGTCTTATGATGGAGGCCTTGTCCAGCTGGCTGGTAATCGCAGCCGGCAGTGGGAGCATCTTGGCCAGCTCGTAGAACTCGTAGTTCTCCTTGCCGCGACGCGATCTCGCCGCATCCCTCGACTTCTCCTTGCGCAGTTCCAGGATGCTAAAAAAAAGAAAATAAACATAAAGAATGAGATATTTACTCAATAGCAAATAGGGAAAACGCGAATCAATCAGTTTACATAAGTAGACACTGACGAATGGCTAGAAGATCGGTCCGAAAGACGACTCTTTACACCTGTCAGCACCGCGTTTTCGGCCATTTGTTTGGCCAACCACCGGCTTTGTGATGGAATGGTGTCAGGCCAAACTAATTGCCCGACATTTGTCAGCCTTTCAGCGGGAAAAGGTTTTGGGTTCGTTGGGTGTGGGTTGTGTGTGGGTCTTCGAATAGGACAATAGTTGGCCAGACAGTTTGTCTCTGGATAAATTGCAGCTCATTTGTTGCAAGATTTCCCAAAGCCAAAGTCCAGAATGTGTGAGAGTTTTTCCCTGCTTTCCTGATATTTTCATTATTATTTCCCTGCACATCTCTAGGAATCCCTGTGAAAATGCCGCCTCCCAAACGATCGCATCTCGGTTTGCTTTTTGTTATTTCCCCTAAATGCAACTTTTCATTCACTAAACTTGCTGCGGAATCTCTCTATAAAGAGTGCCGCTTCTCGCTTCGGATCCGTAAAGTTTGTCTGTCTTTATGGATACGGATCTTGGCAACCTTCTGCGGTTCCGCTATCTGCAGGCGGCCATCTCTCTGAGCATCTTCGTCAGAAAACTTGGCTTCAAGCCTTCATAATTTAAGTTTGTTGACAACTTCTTTGTTGTTGCCTCTTAATGTTGGCAGTGCTGTTTTGACCTGCAGTGAAATCATTGTGCGCTACACGACTTAAGAAGGGTATATTGATTTTATAGGAATTATATTTCTGATTAAGTTTCCTTACTTCCTATAAATATTTAGGTGTTTAAGATCCTCAAATCTTATATATCGTAAAATTCCTATTAGCAAAACTCTTGTAATAATTCTTCCATAGTTTTCCTTGAATTGCGATTATATAATGATAGCCCAAGGACTTTCCCGCTGGGTCCTGACCATATCTCAAAAAGAAATGCCTGAAAAGAGCGACAGGACTGATAAAGCAATAACGGTATCCTGGGCTATTTCTACCTTCACAAAGGCCCCCGGGTCACACTTCTTATCCTTTTTATCCTTGTGTTTCCTTGTGTTGTGCGAACCTTGGGATAAACAAAGGAAGACAAGAAAACTGGATGACTTTCTCCCTCCTTTCTCTGACCGCAGTAAGCCGCTTACCGCTTACATTCTTCGGATCCCTTAATTCCCGCATTAAGCCGCTAATCGAATTGCATCTGGGGCTCTATAAAAATATTTGCACAACCGGGCCAGTCAAGTGAAAAAGAGTGTCCCAAAAGATTTTCGATTGAGTTCGAGATTGGCAGAAAATTCACATAGGATACTGAATAGGGATATCTTTTAAAATAGATTACTTATCACAAAAAACCAGAACATTTCTGTATTGTAAATTTTAAAAAATATTTTAAGAAGTAAAGACTCATAGAATGACTTTGAAACCTCATATAATTGCCTTCTTTTTCGGCAATTTTTGCTAATGACAGGCAATTTGTTCGCCCGTTAGACAGTGGCGAATTTCGTGCGAAATTAAATTCGAAACTCGAGACCGCACATCATTTGTCAAGGCAACACCTCCGATTCCCGACACATCATCATCACCCCTCATTTGCCTCATTTGAATGGCATTTCGATATTGACGAGGCCAAGATTAATGTTTTTTCTAGCCCAAAATTGAATTTTTCCCTTCTCTGGGAGGCAAACAACAAAAGAACAGTTTCAGTTTCGATTTCCCTCGTATGGGGTTTTTGAACCAAAGCAGACGATTTTATTAGGAAAGCATTTACGGCATGTATCGCAGGTACTGACATCTCTGTAAACGTAATTTCAACACAGCTAATTAAAATTGTTGTTGATGTGCGTTCTTCTTTTTTTTCCTGGATGTTTAAACAAAAAGCAAGTGGCTGAAGGGGAAAACTGGCTTGGCCCGTGGCAAACTCCAAGTCGGGGTTTCTTTTTAATTATCAAAATATTTTTATGGCCACGAACGAAGACGCTTTCGGCTGAGATACGAATCTCCAAGTTGGAGCCGAAGACGGGGGCTCTGAGATTCGGATTCAGAGATTTAAGGTAAAACTTAAGGCAAAGGTTTGAGGTTTGCTTTCGAGAGCCAGAAGCCGCGCGCGGCTCAAATAAAGCTACACAAAACGAAGTTTCAAGCCTGTGATGAGCGCATTAAAATAAATTTAAGTGCCCACAATATGTACACTGCAAAGGCAGAGGGTTTTGGGTTTGAGCTCGCATGGACTTGGCGAGTTACCTACGGTGGATTAAGACGATGATTAATTAAGAAATAATAGTGTTATTAGTTTTTATTTGGTTGGAATACGACTTTATCACAAAGCTGGCTAACTATTTTGAGATTTTCCTCAGATATCGAACTTCAATTTAAAAAAAAAAAAAAAAAAAAAAAAACATTTTTTAATTTTTTTTGTTGAAAAAAAACTTTGGTTAAAAAATTATCACTTTGATTTCTCAATATCTAAAAACGGAATGAAACCTCTACAATCAACATATAATACCGCTTTGGGGGACTCATGCTATACAATTTTTTGGCCAGTTGGGAATTTTTAGAAGACTCCGTCCGATAGGGCAAAAAAAGAAATAATACTTTTGTGGTAAATAGAAGTATTAGAGACCTTAACAGGGACCCGGTTTTTATTTTTTTATTCCTTGAATTTTATATATCCGTCCTCATTTGTACTTTATATTTTGTATCCAAAAGTTATATTACATGTTGTATTTTTTCATTTTAACCACTTTTATAATTATTTTTATTAGCTTAGATTATAATATCCTGGATTTCCCATGAGATTACTTAGTTATGGCTACTAACCCGGGTTCGAGGGGCTGTTGCTGGGCGTGCATGCCAGGACCCGTTGGCTGTTGGTGGCCGGGCATTTTGTTGTACGGCGGCATGCCGCACAAGTCCTGTGTGGGCACCATCCAGCTGTGGGTGAAGGGCACCGCCGGCATGCCCAGGGAGCCCATGGTGGCCATGTGGCTACCCGGATGTCCTGGCGTGGGCTGCCTTTGGTAGCCGGCGTAGTCCATGGCCACGGCTGCCTGGTAGGGCAACATGTTTGTGTGGTTGGGATATATCTTCTTAAAGGCCTGATGATATCAGGGAGTTTTCAATTATTTTTATTTTCTATCTTCACTTTTATCACTTGTTATTGCACTGGGATTTCATGGGACACGGATTGAAGGGGGCGTGGCATTCGTTTTGAAGGCCGCATCACAGAACACACACAATCGCACACACGCACGTGTGGTACGTGTCTTCAGTTATCCTTCCTGATATCCTGCGACGGAACTATGGGGTCACGCACTACGGATCGGGATCGGTAGCGGCAAACTAGCCGTCAATCGATTGGCATTCAAATGAGCCGCATTCGCGTCCAGTTAATTTATCTACGGCACTTGGCACGTCTCTTGGGTTACGTTCTATGGGTTACGGGCTTACTGACTACGGGGGCTACGTTGTGAGAACCTGCCAATTACGGACACGCAAGAGCGAGAGAGATGGCCGAAAACGGATATACGGACACACTTGCACGGCCGAGAGCTGCGTACGTGAAACTGCAGCTGATGACGCTGAATACGGAATACGGAATACGTATACCACGGAGTACGCCTACGGAGTAACGAAGATGCGGTACGTCCGTCGCTGGCGACGAGTACGTGCAGAATAATCCAGAGTCACGTTCACGTCACCGAACAAAACCAAAGCAGGGCAAAAAGGCGAAGAGAGAGAGGCCCAACAACAATACAGCGGCGGCAGAGCGTGAGCGAGAGAGGGCTAGCCGAGCGAGCGAGCGAGAGGGCACACACCCAATTTTTGGGGGTGACTCTCGAAGCAAATAAAAAAAAAACGAAGCAACGGCGCCAAGTGCGGGCAGTAGGGTAATCCAAAAAGAAGGATGTCTATCTATTTATGAAATAAAACATGGTTTACTATTATTGGGGAAAGTTTATTCAGATAAATGAATCATTGGAAGGTTCATAAATATAAATATTTGGTATTTCTTAAAAAAAAAAAAAAAATTTTTTTAAATACATTTCTTTGTATGTCATAAAGCAAAACTTTGAAACCAAAAAAAACACCATTCAACAAAAAGTGTTGTTATATAAGATGCGAGGTTCGATGCACTACAACTATTCCAATTGTCCAAAAGCATTCCCAACATCCCATTCGAGTCACCCTAACGCTCCAGGGCGTGTGCGTGTACTCGAACTCAGTGTGGGTGTGTGGGTGAGCAGCACCTGACCGCCGGCAGAGTCATGTGCGAGCAGCGCCAGTAGCATTTTAAGCAGCCTCACGCTCTCCGCACACACACTCCTTCACGGCAAGCACACACACACAGAGGGGCGGGTGTGTGTGCGTGCAAATGGGCGGGACGTGACGCGGCGTCGAATCGGAATCGACATAGCGCGCATACCAAATGAGCCGCATCTTGTGCGATGGAGCAAGCGGGACAGCGAGAGCGGCCAGAGAGGGACGGCGCGTTGTACGTGCCTGTTGGCAACGGGTTTTCCATCTAATGCCATCTCGCTTGCTCTCCTCTGAATGGCCCGACTCACTGCGTTTATGTACTTGTTAGCAAAGCAAGTAAGAAAGAGAGAGAGAGAGTAAGAAAGAGCTTTTGTTTGGCGCTGCAGCACGCGCAGCAATTAGTTTACTTCTTTACACATTTGGGAATTCGCCGACCTCTCGCTCGCACTCAGGCGATGCGTGGGTGTTGTTGCTGCCTCGCCTTTTTATGTGTGTTTGTGTATGTGACCGAAATGCCAATGGAAAAGCGGAGAAGCCAAAGCCTACGGATGGCCATATCTGTATAGATATATATCCTGCGGAATATGAACCCGAACCCTTGAACTGCGAAGCAGGATATAGTGTGTGTGTGAAAGGAGACAGGTAGAAAGTCCACGGGGGAGGGGGTGATTTGTTATTCCAAGCTCGCACAGACAGAAGCTGTCTCTTTTATGTGCCTATTTGTACAGAACTCCCCCGTAAAGTCAACACCCCCTACCCCACTCGAAACCCCACAAAGAAAAGGCAACATCCTCTTAATTTCCACGGAAGGAAGGTTCAATTGTCAAGGTGGGGGTCACCATTTAGCTGCCAGCATTGAAAACTAACGAAAAAAGACTCTACCCCATTGATTGAAATCTTTTAAAGAAGGTTTTCAATATATACTTATCAATACTTGAAGAGGTCAAGAAATTACAAATTACAATGTTGAAAGCTAAAGAAAAAAGACTCTACCCCATTGATTGAAATCTTTTAAAGAAAGATTTCTATATATACTTATCAATGAAAGAGGTCAAGAAATTACAAATAACATTGAAAACTAAAGAAAAAAGACTCTACCCCATTGATTGAGTTTCAATCATTGAAATCTTTAAAAGAAGGTTTTCAATGTATACTTATCAATGAAAGAGGTTAAGAAGTTACAATTATTCCGTAAAATGGACTGTCTCTCAGCTCAGGTCTTTTGTAACAAAAGTTAGAAAAGTTTCGGCAAGGACATTAATAAACTTATGTTATTTATGTCTTATAATATGGTTTTTCTTTCTTGACTTACTTCTTCCTCCTATTATCATTTCTAGTTTCAAAGCTAAATCGATGAAACATTTATTAGTTATCGATGAAAGCTCTTTTTAATCACTGAATTTCCCATCTCTAATCAAAACGTTGTTTTGGCCAAAAACTAGAGCAAAGTGGGTATATTGGCCTTAACCACAGGCAATTTTCAAGACCCCTCAATCCCCCCACCCCCCTGGGAGTAGTACACACATTACGTAAGCGTAACGTAACTGGAACATGTGTAGAAACCGAAACGTGATCGATTTCTTAGGAGAGAGTGAGTGAGATGGCGAGGAGACAAGTTGGCGTAGCGAATTCTCCCACAATTACGGCGGCGGCAATTGTGAATTTTAAAAAGGAAACGTGCCAAGTGCTTGGGTCAGGCGCCGGCGGGTTAACGGGGGGTTGGGTTGTCCAGGGGTCCAGGTCCAGAGAAGGTCCGGGACAGGAAGACGAGGAGGAAGAGCCGGCCGAGGGAGTAGACAATGAATGAGGAACTCGAATTCAGCGCTTGCCATAAAAATCGAACGTGGAAAGCGTTCGCGCTTCCGGAATGAATGGCAGGATGTGGGGCTTCAGGGGGTTAAGGGGGAGTGCCTGTGCCTGTGACCATGTCCACGTCCACATTCGCATTCACGTTCACGTCCAGACACCGGGCAGACATCGTGGCCATCATCATCTTCGTGGTCATCATCATCGTGGGCAGGCAGGCATCCAAATTGTCCGGGGGCAAGTGGAAGAACCTTCCTTTTGTAGGTCGGAAATCGGCAGTGCGTGCACACTGAGCCAAAATATTGGTCCTATTAATTGCAATGCTTTCGGGTTTTTAAATTCATCAGTAAATAGACAAGATAACAAGACTAGAGTAAGCAAAATGGGATCATAAAATTCTTAAGAGGTCTACTTTGTGTGTTTAAGTTATGTTTTCTATCTACTGGTAAACATCTTAGTGAACTTTAGCCATTTCTTATGGCTCTCTAAATTTACAAAGTAATTCTTTTAATCTCAATTAAAAGGACGTAATAGAAAAGTTTGGTTTTTCCGAGTGTACGGACTGTGGACTGCGTGTGGATGGCGTTTGGATGGCGTGTGGCTCCAGTCGCCCGAGGACAATGGCCACGGACGTGCAACGATGCGTGTGGTGGCGCCTCAACCCCCTCCTCTGCCTCCTCCTAAACCCCTTACCATTTACCACTTACCACCCCCTCGCCATTTTGAGGTGCGTGTGCGTGTTGCGGGCGCCGCTGGAACATGGACATGAATTTTCATTTTGGTTTCGGTTTCTGTTGCGTTTTCTGCTTTGGTTTTTCGAAAAAACACTTGTATTCCAGTCAGGAGCTGAAATTCGCTTTTATGAATGGAAAAAGAGTGCGATGGCCAGCGGGGGCAGAACTAAAGCTCAAGTGTCTGGCTCACGTCTGGCCTGCTCTTCCACATATCACGTCTCGGGAACGCTACAGTAGCAACATCGATATCTAATACTTTTAATTGGCAAAACTAGGATTTAAAGTCTGAGATATTTTAGGTATTAATAGAAATGTTGGCAGACCAAATGATTTTAAGCAAGTATTTTTCAAGAAACTAGGAATTCAATTCAATTCATCAAGTTGGATTTTTGGCAAAAGCAAATGACGAGTTAATACTTAACTCCTTCAATTACTTATGTTTTCGATAGAACACTGTACATGAGAATCCCCAAGGCCACAGGAACCGCATTGTTAACGGTGGCCAACAGGAAACATATTAAGGAAAGAGATGCCAAGACACCAATAAGAGGGTTCAGTGCTAGCGGAAAAGAGACAGGAAGAAAAGTTGGCAAGTTGATGCATTTATCACGTTTACTCGGACACACGAGGCGTCCATTTCAAATAGGAACGTGATGGCCGAAAGAAATCCAAATCGAAATAAACACAATAAATGCGAAAATAACACAAATACAAAAATGAGAACCAGAAAACCATTGAAAGGCGCCTGGAAAACGATCGATGAACAAGTGATCGGGGCGATAAGATAAGCGGGAATCCAGAAATGAGTGAGAAAGGAGCCAGGGAGGAAGCAATAAACTAACCGCGATCGCTGATCTGTCACCATTTCTCCTTCAGGAGGCAGGCCGAGCCCCCATAAAACTGACGTGAGGTGATAAAATAGCTGGACAAAATGATTTCCAGAAGAATCATTTCTACACCCAAAGAAAATGTTGTATAAATTAATGGTTTAAAGAGAATTTAATATCCGATTTTTTCCCAATGATTTTTTGAAAAATGGGTATTTAGAAAATAAAGATTTTGAGTTTAAAACCTACTTTGGACAGAAAAAATTGTCAAAAATTGTTTAAACTTTATGCTGAAAGATGAAATTACCAGGGTACTAGAAAAGAAGATACAAAATATTTAAGACAAGATATATCAAATTATTTCCAGTGTTTTTTAGTCATTGAAGCTGCAACCCGGCCAAAAAAGAGTAGCCGGAGAAATGCATTTATCTTATTGTCAGATCTGAGGAGAGTTTTTTTTATGGCCTAACTGTTTCTCGATTGTGTTACACAACACAAGGCAAAACAAACGAAAGCAGTGACAAGAAAAACAATAAGCGGAGTTTATAAGTCAAAAACCACAAGAGAGGCCAACAATTAAGCAATAAAACATCAGAGAGCGAGAGGGAGGGTCGGAATCCAAATGAAATCGGAGTAGTGCAGTTCGGGAGCGTGATCTTTATCACAATTGTGCGTGCTTCCGATGAAATGTTCTCTTCAGATCCCGACTCCCCCTTGACCCTCCGATTCTCAACGGAGCTTGGGTAATAACTTTTTCGGTCAAAAATGATAAACTGCAGTGGTTAGGATCCACTTTCTTACTTTCTTCTCTTCAGAGGTTTAAGTTGGATGAAAAATAATATACATTTTTAAATTGTTCAACCCAATTATGAACTACGTGAAATTTGCTAAATTTTTCCTACGATAGACTCTAATTTTTCTTGACATAAATAATGATATCGTCTCTTGTTAGATTGTTTAAATTAATTCCATGCCTAGGC